GAGTGGATAATATAATTTGTATCGCGAACGTCGCCAAGGTGTTGCGTTCACGTGTTAGGGCCACGTCTATTCCATCGTCGAATAGAAAAGAGGAAATATTTGGTGAATTTTTGGTCGAAAAAAAGGCAACCTACATCATATTCCCAATTATTTTTGTAATTTTTTACTGAAATATAAATTGTGTCAATTGTAATACCGCACAGTAGTATATGGTACATTAGTACAATATTACAATGGCTGTCATGCAGTACCGTATACCAATGTATTACAAAACCAATGAAACATTGTAATTTTTTTAACAAGCATTCACAGTATTTTTGCAATAACAAAATACGAATTCATACACGTAAATATTCAATACGATTGAATGTCTTTGATTAATTTATTTTTAGAAAAAACACAATACTTCCTCAATGTGTACACCAAAACAACCAGCCAATTGTGTCCACGTTTGAATGTAATACAGGTAGGAAGGAACAACAGGTTCCACACTTCTTCTAGGTTCTTTCGGTAAAGTCACGTAGAAGGGAAGTAATAAAATAATAAAACATAAAATAATTCTCACGTTTCGAACCACAACGCAAGCAGCCGCCCTCAGGTGAAGACCAGGTCTGTCGGGGAGACAGTGTCATTCAGACGCGTCATTCAGACGCTGTCTCCCCGACAGACCTGGTCTTCACCTGCGGACGGCTGCTTGCGTTGTGGCCGAAACGTCGTGAGAATTGTATTTTATTATGTTTTATTTTTATTATTTTATTACTTCCCTTCTACGTGACTTTACCGAAAGAACCAAGAAGATGAATCCCTGCAGTCACTAAAGATTTAAATCGAAAGGTTCCACACTGCCCACCAGGGATTATTTGTCTATCGTGCATACCATGGCTCCCCCCCACCAGAGCCCTCCCATTGGCTCGGGGGCGCCGAATATAATTATTTAATTAATCGAGTTGGCGGGGTTTCGCCGACCAATGGGAGCGGTGGGTTGGGGTTGGTAGAGGGAGGGGGGTTCGTGGTGGGGGGGGGCACCGCTGCGACTCGGGCCAATGAGTAGCCTTAAGGTGATTCAGTTTGTCCAAAAAAGCAAATGTATTCCTTGTAAAAGATCAAACAAATTAATGCATTTCTAGGTTAACATGAGCATATAAATTAACCCCCCTCCCCCTATAAAAAAAATACTTTACCGAGTATTATATGACAATGCATATTACAGGTAGGAACAACAGGTTCCACACTGCCCACCAGGGATTATTTGTCTGTCTGTCGTGCATATTTGTCTGTCGTGCACGAACGTGCTGTCCAACCAAGTTCCTACCTGCCCGCTCCGAAGGAACGTGTTTAAGGGCTCGTGCCATGAAGAGGCCCATGACATGAAAACCACAACTCGCACACCATGTCAAAGGCGATCGCCAGCCTGTGATGAAGCTCTGAGAATGCGTGTCATGCTTTTAATGACCAAAAGCGCACAGCACTACTTTCAGGCCCTCGGGGGAATGTCGTGAAGAAAAAAAATGTACCCGTAAAAACAAAGTTTTTCACTATAAATCCTTTATATGCGTGGCGGCTCGAGTCCTCTCGTCCTCTGGCTTGAGATGGCTGCCACCTATGGGTCAGATGATTGCCTGCCACCATTAAGCAATTGGTAATTAAATATAATTTTTTTCCTAAAAAGTGTAAAATTTTGGGAAAAATTTTCACGAAAATAAATTGTCACGCACAACGAGTCTGTGTGCAAAATGTCAGCTCGATTGGATCACGGGAAGTGGGTTAAAAACGACCAAAATATTTGCATGGTCGTAAGCGTGCAAGCAAGCAAGCAAGTGAACTTAATATAAAGGATTTAAAAATCGCGTCGCTCCACCGTGTGATATTGGGGTGGTTTTCACACTGTAAAATTCTGACTTAAAACTTTCGTGACTGCAGGAATTCATATTCTTTGGTTCTTTCGCTAAAGTCACATAGATAGAAAAATAATTTTTCAAACAAAGTGAATAATTTTTTTTTTTACTAATGTAGACTGTAGCCTGGCTCGTAATCGGAGTGAGTGTACTGGCAATCTATAATGTGGACTGTCGTCTGGTTATTAAGTTTGGTGAGTACTGGCAGTCTATAATGTGGACTGTAGCCTGGTTATTAAGTTTGGTGAGTGTACTGGTAGTCTATAATGTTGACTTTAGCAATGGTTATTAAGCTGGGTGAGTGTACTGGCAGTCTATAATGTCGACTGTAGCCTGGTTTTAAGCTGGTGTGCGTATTGGCAGTCTATAATGTAGACTGTAGCAATAGTTATTAAACTGAGTGAGCGTACTGGCAGTCGATAATGTAGACTTATTATTGGTTTTCAGTAATAAAAAATAAAATAAAAACCACGACGTTTCGAAGGCAAAACAAGCGGTCGTCATCAGTAAAAGGGGTGTAAGCCTTTAAAGGCAAACTATTTATAAAGGTTTAGAGATGGACGTAGCCCAAGTGTGTCAGCAGCATGGGCAGGGCAGCTAATGTTAGTGTAGGAGAAAAGACAAACAACTACACCAATCAAAGGGCCGCCAGGCAATCATTGCACCTCCTCGCTCCACACACCCACACTGCTGACGGTGGAGGTTGACAAGAAAAAACACAAATCAAGTCATGACCCAAAGATGGTGATGACATCTTTCCAATGCTTGCGGAGTTTATAACCATCCTCGCGGTTGAAATTGTCTCTATATATGGACGGCTTCATGAACGAATCTTTGTTGATAGTCAGTAGGCTTGCAAATTACCATCGAATTAGAAATATCAATTTCTTGCGAGCCAGCCGTATTAAAATAATGATCAGCCATGGCATAAGTATTGGTCCTACCGTGTTTCAAATCTGCCTTGTGCTCACAAACACGGTCCGAGACATTTCGATTTAAAGCTTTCGTGACTGCAGGGATTCATCTTCTTGGTTCTTTCGGTAAAGTCACGTAGAAGGGAAGTCCGAGACATGTCGCTTAGTTTCCCCAATATAACTACTGTCGCAGATACAGCTTAGTTTGTAGACGCCGAGATATTGCATGTCAGGAATCTTGTCCTTCACAGATGGGATCAGATCACGAATTTTATGTACTGTGTTAAATTGGACCTGGATCTTGTGTTAATGATTTTGGAAATCTGTATGGTTACCCCTGCTATGTATGGCAAGGTGCTGGTTTTGATCGGATCCTCAGATGACTCCTTCCTCACGGTTGGGGTGATGGCTTTGCGGATTGTGTAGTCAGAATATCAATTCGCCTTGATAGCTTGGCGTACGTGTTTGAGTTCATTGGTTAGGTGTTCATGGTCGGACACACATTGAGCTCTATGGTGTAGCATTCAACTGTGTCAACCTCCAACAACCTCTGGTGCCGACTGCGTTTTGTATTTTAAACTTCTTTCCCACAGTACGTAGAAAACCGTGCTAATCGCAGCGTTACAAAGTGGATTTGTAAACATAATTGGACCTTTTGCTCAAGGTCAGTGGAGGTGAACACCGCCCTAGTGATCACTTGATAAAACAGTTAACTTTCCTTTTACTTTCATTACACTATGTAACACGATTATTGTTCCTGGGTAGTGTTATTTTCTTATTGCTTATGCCTCAATAGTATAGAAAATGGCTATTATTCATACTCTTAGTTCTTTCGGTAAAGTCACGTAGGTAAAAAATGAAATTAGAATTTATAAAAAAATAAAATAAAAATCACGACGTTTCGGAGGCAACACAAGTCTCCGTCATCAGGTGGGACCGTCACAGCCAGATTTGCTGCATCAAATGAAGCAGGGATTCAAGATGCAAGCTCTTAAATACAAGTTAAGGGGGAGGAGAGGGGGAGGAGAGCTTATCAGAATGTGGTAGCCAATGAATGAAACGTATCGGGAGGGGGGGCGGGGCTAAAAGAGGGCACGAGGTGCTCGTGGGCGTCGACGTGGACGTGTTTGTACGCAAGTCCCTGTTGTTGCACATGATGACGTATTGGAAGGGGGGGGGGGGGCGTGATTTTTATTATTTTTTATTAATTTTAATTTCATTTTTTACCTACATGACTTTACCGAAAGAACTAAGAGTATGAATCCTTGCAGTCACGAAAGCTTCAAATCTAGAATTGCCTATTATTCCCCCACGAACTTGGCTCGTGACCAGGACTTGTGAAGGAACGACACAAATGCACACACCACGTTTTCTCATTGAAAATAGGTACATTTCAAAATATCACTGTCCTGGTCACAAAAGCAAAGTTTATGGGGAATAACAGCCAAATTCCGTACTTTTGAGGCATAAGCAATTAGGAAATAAAACTACCCAGGAACAATTTTTTTGCTACAGTGTTATTAATGGAGTGAATGGTTAACTTTGCTTTTGTGTCCTGGTCACAAAAGCAATGTTTGTGGAGAATAATAGCAATTTTGTGTACGTTTGAGGCATAAGCAATTATAAAATTACTACCTGGGAACAAAAAAATAACACTAACAAAATTTAGTTTTTGTTAGTGTTATTATTCCATGAATGCAAAGTAGGAATCATGTAAGTGAACTCGTAATCTCTTTTAAGAAATTATCATGACCACCGTCTATAAAAAAAAATCTCCAAAATTGTGCACAAAGTAAAGCGGACATCTTTGATGCGGGAGAAATTTAATTGACGATTCAATGAATGTATTACGTTGTGATGTCCAGTCGTGGTTCTGTAGATTTAAATTGAAAGCGGCACAAAAGTACCGTTCCAAAACAGAATCACACCGGCTACCCACATTTTTTTTCATTCTCGGTGTGAAATAAGCATCTCATTTGACTTATATCGTGAAATAAATTACAAGTAATCTTACGGAATATAAGTTTTTACTACAATAGTACAGATCAATATTTGTGAATAACTTCTGAAATGCTAATAAATTACACATCTTTTACTATGATGCATAATTTATGCAATCGTCAGTCAATTCATACTCTGACTTAATTTCAAATCAAATTAAGGACTGGAGTTCACTAATTGACACATGAGGGGTTTTGCGAGTGGTTTTAATTTTTTTCATATTTTACATGTACAACTTTGTATTTCAACTTTAGCTAAGGATATGTCTCTATAACATATGACAGTACATTAAAATAATGAACCTCAACCTACATAAAATTCACAGCAACATATGAACATATAGATATGAACAAATAAATAAGATTAACATATTATCTGTATATTAAGCAGTTGCATTCAGCTGTATTTGTTGAAACTGTTTTATTAAATACAAGAGTGACATTCAATGGATTCTTGATACCATTGCAATGACAGCTGAACTTTGACCTTGCACAGAGAGTGCATGTCCTTAGCGTGAAGGGTTCTGAGCCAAACAATATTAGCCATGACGGTAACATGATAATTACAGTGCAGCAACGATTGCTCAAGGAAAATATAAAAAAAACCCCGCTTAACATTTAGAAGCAAAGTCCAAAAATATCAGTTTTCGAAATATGTCGACGCGGCCAACAATATAAACACACAGTGCTGATAAACAAAGATTCTGGGAGCATCCAGAATCTCATAATTCATGCCACTGCCTTCGTCTGGCTGAGCACGTCGAGAATACCTGTGGCCGTAACGCAATGAAGTTGCACGTACGAAAAAACGGATAAGCGCAAGACTTTGCAAATTATCACACTCTCGGTAGATTTCATAGCCTGACAAGTTGCAATTGGGCTAAGAGTGGAGACCCATTTTCTCCAAGTTGGTAGAAGTAATCCAGTTCCGAAAAACTGCTCTTCAGTGTTACAATGCCCCAGTGGTGCTCTTTCATCGCTTTGCCGTAGTATTTCCATGGGTAAATAAGACTTTGAATGACTTTCATTAAATAAGACATTTCATAATTCAGTAACCTGTCTTTGCAATTTTGGAAAGAAAATGCAATGTGAAAGGAGCATGACACTGGTATTCATTTTCAATACTGTAATATATTTTTTATTGACTTTTCCACTAGATGGCAGATATATCACGTGATCAATAATGGTGGTATCAGTGCATAACTGCACGTTAGAAGAGGGTACACATATACAAGAGGAAGGTATTGAGGAATTGTTCTGAAATGTGACCCTATTTATGCTGCTATGCAATTCATCTTACTCATCTGTCGTCCAATATCAACCTTTCGGGTGACGTTGGATGAAGCCAAGGCATCAACTGCACTCGACATCACAAACATGTTCATATCCTGATTGCAGCCATTCCACCCATTTATAATTGTTGCCACAATAGGCAGCCTCATTCTTTTGATACATTTCACTTAAGAGGACAAAAATGTAACAGCATACAGCTCTTCTAATGTGTAGTTGTGCAAGAGCACTGACATGTTTTATCGTCTGCCATTTCACGGTAATTATACCAAAATATTGCTTGAGTATAAAAAATAAACTGACGAGCAACAGCTTAAATTATCATTAATAATCTTTTACTTATTAAAACAAACACCCACATGGTTGCTTTATAACATTTGCATGACAGCCTTCCACTAACCAACACACAGTCGTCAGTTCATTAAAATGTTCATAGCTCAAGATTAAATCCTGCAGATATATATACAAACGTACAACCGCGCTCAATGAACAAAACACGCCCTGCAATCAACCACTTAAAGCCAGAGCTCAGCGTAAAAAACGTCTCCGCAGTCCCAAAGAAAAGCGGTCACATGTGTACAGAACAAAAGCAGTTGCGTAACGCCGGGCCAAATTAGCGACGAAAGCCCAAGGAGGAGCAACGCCACGCCCATCAGTTCCGCGCTGTGAACGGCTCCTGCGGCGCATTGAGTGTCTCCACCAAGATGTCGAGCAACTGCCTGTGCCTTTCCTGGGCGTCTGCGGGGAGGGCTCCGGGCTCGCTCGACGCCAGCAGCTCACACTGCATGGAGCGCAGGGCCTCACGCAGGCCCAGGAGCAGGCGTGCATCCTCGTGACGGCACGCCATGCGCACCAGGTCACCGTCTCCCACCGTCAGCAGGACGTCACCATCCCCCTCTGCGCCGCGACACGAAGACGAGGGGGGACGCGTGCCCGTTAAAGAGTGGCGCTTCGCTTAGACTCTTTCCCGTTCCGATTGACGTGCGTGTACGTCATCAGGTTTCCTTCCGATTCCGTTCAAAATGAAACCGGAAGAAAAAAAAATTACTACAACTAATAGAATGACTATCAGTAACCGAGGCTCCCACAAGGCCATGCTGGAGGATGTGTTGCCCGGTTTAGCACCGGCTATCATAGAGCGCGGTCGTGTCGCTACGGTTCTCTGCGGTGAGTACAATGTCTTTAAAAATAATGCCGCTACGCCTCTCTAAATTAAATTAACGCTGAGCCGTTTGCGCTTTCCGAGATTCAGGGGTGAACGGGACCCATCCTGAAACTTGCAGACGTCTCAGAACGGGAAAGGGCTAAATACGTCAGTCGCATTACAGCGATACACTCCGCTGCTCCCGACGCGGTTATCTGGCTTGACCACCTGAATGTGAAAATGTATGAGAATAAGTTTTTCCCCTTTAATCTGGCAACAAAACAGGTGTAAAGTTGTTATAACACCAAACTGAAACTTTTGCAAGGAATCATGTCTGCATTAACCACAATGCTTGTGGTCGGAGGTGCGGGGGAAGGATGATAAACTAAACACAAAAAACAGTTCTAAAGAAATGAGTTTTCAATCTAGATGATTTAAAAGTGGCTTCCTAATATCGGAAGGAAAAGCTTTCCAGGCGGCCGCAGAAGCACACCTGACAGCACGCGATGCAGTGACCGAGTCGTGGTGTATATATTTAAACTGCTTGCATAACGTACTGTATGATAATTCAAGGCAGCACATTACCTCTCCAGTGAATGGGCGCGTCCGTCATGAGCAGCAGAGCCAAGGGGTGAACCATGGAGCTATCGCGCACGAACACCCTGCCGTTGGACTTCATGGCGCTGTAATAAACCAGGTAGCGGCTACGGAACTCCTCCTCGGTCCTACGCCACAACATGAGAACATACAGAGTCACCACGAGCAGACAGATGCTTTTACTGGTAGGAACCTCCTGGTTACACCAGCCCACAGGGGATTATTGTGTCCGTCCGTCCGTCGTGCAGGGAGGGCCTGGGTGGGGAGGGACTGTGTGGGGAGGGGCTGGGTGGGGAAGGTGGGGAGGGGCTGGGTGGGGAGGGTGGGGCTGGGTGGGGGGTGGGAGGTGTGGGGCTGGGTGGGGAGGGGCTGGTCACCCCGTGGTGCCCTTATAAAACTCAACGTTTAACCTACTCACGCCGGCTTGTGCCCGCCCTCACAGTCGGGCATATTTGCGGAATAAACCACGCCGCCGTTGACCCTGGCCATTGACTGAGCAACCCAACGTTGCTACCAGCTCCCTCCGCAGGAATGTGTTTAAATGTGCATCAGTGTGGTTGAGAGTTTGTTGAACACAACTCTGGAGGTGGCCGTGAAGTCAGAGCGCTGACCAGCACCACTGGGTTCACTGGCCCGTGATTTCACTGTAGCAAGTTGTCTCAACAAAGCATCGTGTTAAATTCGTTTTTCACTTAGTTTGGCTAAATTCCAGCCAGGAGAATGAAAATATTGGTATTACTGTCATGCAATAAACACCAATGATATATACAACTATTGTGAATGAAGGCCGCTTAAAGGCTTATTCTGAAAAAAGTGTTTATTGCAGTCATGAAAACTTGATTTGAAGCTTTCCTGATTGCAGGAATTACTCATTGGCTCTTTCGGTAAAGTCACGTAGAAAGAAAATAAATTAAATAATAGAGTACGATGTTTGGATTGCAACACAAACAACCGTCATCAGTCATGGTTGGTTGGACACATGGGGTCCCATTGCTCTGAGAAATGTATGAAAGTCTGTGAACGTGACCACTAACCTATAACTCTCTAATCTTTATCTCTTGTTGATATCTTTCTCGCTCACTCACATCTCACTCATCTGTATCTCATTATACTTAATTCAAGCAAGAATGACTCCCACTGATGAGACGCTGTATTTCGAAATCGGTTCAGACTTGAATCAATGCTGCTGAGGTTGTGCACTCGCAAGGGCCGATGGGTTGTATTAAAATACAGCGAAGATAGATATGAGAAGGAGGCATATTGTTGAGCTCAGTGGTTCTCAAACGCGGTTATGAGGACCCCTGGAGGTATGTGGCAACGTCCCAGGGGGTAAGTGTGAAATTATATCATACATGAGTCATTGGCGAATAAGCATTTATGAATCTGCCAATATCAAATAACTACAATTAAATTGAAATCCACATGGTAACCTAGAATTATATTAAATACTTTTCTAAACTCCTTGATCGTAAACAAAGCGGTTTTCGAGAGCAATCAGGAGAGCATCGGTTGATTTTTTTTATTCGCCTGCAGTTCCTAGCTAGTTAGGATACCTTGCCAAATGGTCAATTGGTTAAAATATTGACGTTCATTATTCATGCATTTATTTCTGAGAACCATGCTGGGTCAGGGCAAGGTGTGAAACAAAATTCAACAAGGGGGGGGGGGGGGGGTAACCAGTAGCCAATAAAGGTTGAGAACCACTGCACTAGCATATACATTTTGTATCTTTTAACGTCTCAACAAACCACATCTCTCAGTGGGCCACTCCAAGAGTTTTCATGAGCCAAACGCAGAGGTCGTAAACGGGTTTTGATTCCTTACCCATACCCGTACCTGGCCGCACCAGAGTCGCAAATGGGTACCCGTACCTGGCCGGGTACGGGTACTCGTTCCCTACCCGTACCCATACCCGAAATGAGTGACAAACGGTTACTTACCAGTGACTCACGGCCTACCCGTACCCGTACCCGGCCGCACCAGGGTCGCAAACGGGTACCCGTACCCGTACTCGGCCGGGTACGGGTAGCCGGGTATCAGGTAGGGTACGGGTATCGGGTACCCGATTGCGACCTCTGGCCAAACGTAGCCAGTGGAAGAACCCTGGTGTAAACAATGCTCGGGCTGCTGAGTAGCGGTGGCCTTGGTAATTGCTGGTTCTGCTCCCGCCGGTCGTACTCACTTGTTGAGGGTGCTGCTGTGCAGCAGGACCCTGCCGGTGCGCGTGCGGCACACCAGGCTGTCGGCCCGCAGCTTGCCTTCCCGCGTAACTTCCCCTAAGCGCAGCTGGGGTACGGAAGCACGCGGGGACACAACCGTGATTGACAATTGACAGCAAACGGGCAAAAAATACGCACGCAGGTGCATCAAACAACGAGCTGCTTCGCAACCCGGGAGCCACTGCCACCCCTGCGCGCAAGGCAGGGGACGCATCTACACATTTTAAAATAGGTGTTCTACTCACGAATGGTTCCCGGTGGTTATCAGTTTGATTACAGATAAAAGCTGTGACGTTCACCCTCCACTTTGCAATGGACAAGAGGAGTTCGACTGCCACTATAATTGTATTACATCTACGCAATTACCCGCTACGGACTACCATGTATTTCAAGTTTTCCATCATCAACATATTCAGCATTTCTCTCATCTTGTTGAAGGGAGAAAAACGCACGTAAAAAAATATCCATGATCTTTGTTCGAAGTTTTTGAAAGGTGTCTATTCGTGAAAAAGTACACATTTTTGGGGTATCTGGACACCGACAATGTTCACAGTGGCTGTGGCCCTGGTGTGAGGTGAATGCTGTATGGAAGGTGTCCAGTTCCTGGTGCGAGGTGAACACTGTACGTAAGGTGTCCACAGTTCCTGGTGCGAGGTGGACATTGTACGGTAAGTGCGTGTCCAGTTCCTGATGCGAGGTGAACGTTGTACGGTAGGCGTGTGTCCAGTTCCTGATGCGAGGTGAACGTTGTACGGTAAGTGCGTGTCCAGTTCCTAGTCTGAGGTGAACACTGTACGGTAGGCGTGTGTCCAGTTCCTGGTGCGAGGTGAACGTTGTACGGTAAGTGCGTGTCCAGTTCCTAGTCTGAGGTGAACACTGTACGGTAGGCGTGTGTCCAGTTCCTGGTGCGAGGTGAACGTTGTACGGTAAGTGCGTGTCCAGTTCCTAGTCTGAGGTGAACACTGTACGGTAGGCGTGTGTCCAGTTCCTGGTGCGAGGTGAACGTTGTACGGTAAGTGCGTGTCCAGTTCCTGGTGTGAGGTGAACACTGTATGGAACGTGTGTCCAGTTCCTGGTGTGAGGTGAACCCTGTATGGAACGTGTGTCCAGTTCCTGGTGTGAGGTGAACACTGTATGGAACGTGTGTCCAGTTCCTGGTGTGAGGTGAACACTGTACGGTAGGCGTGTGTCCAGTTCCTGGTGTGAGGTGAACACTGTATGGAACGTGTGTCTAGTTCCTGGTGCGAGGTGAACACTGTACGGTAGGCGTGTGTCCAGTTCCTGGTGTGAGGTGAACACTGTACGGTAGGCGTGTGTCCAGTTCCTGGTGTGAGGTGAACACTGTATGGAACGTGTGTCCAGTTCCTGGTGCGAGGTGAACACTGTACGGTAGGCGTGTGTCCAGTTCCTGGTGTGAGGTGAACACTGTACGGTAGGCGTGTGTCCAGTTCCTGGTGTGAGGTGAACACTGTATGGAACGTGTGTCCAGTTCCTGGTGCGAGGTGAACACTGTACGGTAGGCGTGTGTCCAGTTCCTGGTGTGAGGTGAACACTGTATGGAACGTGTGTCCAGTTCCTGGTGTGAGGTGAACACTGTATGGAACGTGTGTCCAGTTCCTGGTGTGAGGTGAACACTGTATGGAACGTGTGTCCAGTTCCTGGTGTGAGGTGAACACTGTATGGAACGTGTGTCCAGTTCCTGGTGCGAGGTGAACACTGTACGGTAGGCGTGTGTCCAGTTCCTGGTGTGAGGTGAACACTGTATGGAACGTGTGTCCAGTTCCTGGTGTGAGGTGAACACTGTATGGAACGTGTGTCCAGTTCCTGGTGCGAGGTGAACATTGTACGGTAGGCGTGTGTCCAGTTCCTGGTGTGAGGTGAACACTGTATGGAACGTGTGTCTAGTTCCTGGTGCGAGGTGAACACTGTACGGTAGGCGTGTGTCCAGTTCCTGGTGTGAGGTGAACGTTGTACGGTAAGTGCGTGTCCAGGCGCGTACTTGTATAATGTTGGGGTAGAGGGCAGCAGCCAGCACCCCCAGCACGAGCTCGGCTTGGCGGCAATACTCGTTGCACAGTGCCTCGTCGTGCAGGCATTCCGTCGTGTTTTCTACTAAATTCGCATCGTGAATGCCCTGTGAGAACTGCCTCATCAGTCCTGAAACAGCAAGATACACAACAAAAACCCGACGTAAATATTCCGTTCAAAAGCAATTTTTGGTTTTCCGATTTGCAGGTTGTCTCAGCACCCTGGCCTGAAGTTACGGAGCGCGGTACAATGCAGTGGTAATCCTAGACACGAGATTGATACTGGTCACAGGAGTGTGAAATTTCCCCTGCTGGGTCAGAGTTGCCAACAGGAATGAGTGCCCAACGCATTGTTTGTTTGAGGAGGAAAAAATATTGGGTATAATTTGTGTGGGGGCGAAAGTCTTGAAAATGTGTCAAACACATTGTATGTATGTATGTATGCTGAACTTTTTTTGCACTGCACGAATATGTGCCTCTGACTTGACTTATAATAACATCGCATTAGTAGTGTGTGCAAATGCTCATACGACTATTCACCATTAACGACATCGTATTTGCTTTGCAGTGGTGTACTCATGCAACGAGCGACTCAGCAGCATACCTGTCAACCCCTTATGAGTGCCTACCTTATTATTGGCTAACTCGTGCTCTTAAAATCTCAACGTTCATCCTACAAAGTCCCATCACAAGGGAGAAACACGAACAAATAGACAAAAAAATGCTTGCCCGTATTGAAACGGCTGAATAGCCGTATGAATCTGAAAACTAAATTTCAATGTACAAGGATACGGGGTAAACCATATGGGTTGACAGGTATGCAGCAGTGTGTGTGTTTGACGCGGCGCCGCGTGCTCGTGGGGGCCGTCACTCGCCCTGCACATATCGGACGGCGGGCGGGTGCAGCATGTTCTCCGCGGCGCAGTGCTGCTCGTCGGCGCGATCGCCGTACGCGTGCCTCCACTCCTCGAGTGCGTTCACAAAAGCCAGGTGGTCGCTACGAGTCTCTCCCGCCAGCAGCCGCCGTGCCTGCGAACACATTGCGACGAGGTTGGGACGACAGTGGGACGAACGCACTCCGGTGACGCGAGGGCGACCAATCGCCCACGGTGGCAATGGGTAAACTACGCGACAGGGTTACTGCACGTCATTGTTGGAAGGGGTACAGGAGTAGAGATGTCCGAGTGCGAGAGACGTCTGTGACAGGCCTACACATGCTTGTACCGCGAGTACACCAAAGGCTTTAATAGTGACAGCAGGAACGCAGGCTACCCTCCTTCATGATTCAAGCCGATGTAACTGAGATCGTGCATTGAACTGTGAGTGCTACGGAAAACAACATAGGTGTTCAAGGTAGCTTTAAAACACCGTTTGTTACAACATAGCGCATTAACGTTGTTTCAGTGGGTAATTATGTATAGAACAGGTGGAACGCTCACTATACATTAGGATTTAGTAAATTCTTCAGACTTTAATTTAATATGCCAATTTGCTGAATCTTGCTATGACACATATGTAGTGGGTACGGACGGAGACTCAGGCTTACTAATTGAGGCAACACATTTATTAACCTTAACACCAACACTATTAACACGAAGGGGTAACTGCCCCTTTACCAGATAACCTGTGGTGGTGGACCACCAGACTAGCTACTCTAACACTCTGAGTTAGCAACAACGGACCCGACCCCAACTCGGGTCCGGGTCCACGTGTTGGAGAATCCTCTCCTGGCGTAGAACGTAGATGTCTTCATGAAGACAAGAGCTGGGGACCCGGATTTTTATCCTGTGTGGCGGGGTTCGCTCCGCCTCTAGCCACGACCCCCTTCTCGAAGTCTCGAGGAGGCTCTCCTCTCGACACGTGGTCCCCCCAGCCCCCCCTTTGGGGGTCCCCGGGTAGACACCTCCGGTCACATGTCCTCCGGGGTCAACCAGAGTGCCGTGGCCCCCTACAACCCCGTTCCGAGGCCGGCACTCTCGCCCCCTATCTCGTAGAGGCCCGGTACTGCATCCCCAATCAGCGGTGTCCGTGGTGGCAATACATTGCATGGCGTGTCTTTCCAGGCTGGCCACACACAGCGACATGCAGCGATGTCGCTACACATATACAAAAGGTTTCTGCATGATTGGCACTACAGAAATATAGTTCCTTCATCAGGGTGGAAGCTGATGTGAAAATGTAATGAAGCACGGCAGGTAGGAGCACTCCCACAGCAAGAGGCATTTCAAATAAATGAAAAAGCTAGCGGCGACGCTAACCTTGAATGCGTTACACTCGAGACTCATCAGTCCCTCAGGGTCCTGACGCCCTGACCGGAGTCACTCGAGCGCACATCGCCATGGCGACGCAGCAGGGGGAGGGGCTGACGCGACACCACTCGCCGACCACAGCTCGGGGTGGGGGGGGGGGTGGCAGGGAACGCGCCGCACTCCCACGCACACCTTGTTGACGGCCGCACGTTGCTGCAGGCCGCTCTGGAAGGGGTCGCGCGAGAGGCTGGAGATGATGACAAGCACGGGGTAGAGGCAGCGGAACAGGGTGGCCAGGACAAGGGCTTTGGCCAGTCGGGGCTCCACCGCCATGTGGGCGAGCCGAGCGCCCAGTGGGGTCAGGGACTCATCCATCATCAGGACGCCTTGGGTGGAGGAGAGGAGGAAGGAGGGGGGGATGAGGTGGAAGAGGGGGAAGGCAGCGGCAGGAAGACGAGTGAAAGGGGAGGGGAAGAGGCGAGACGCACACGAGATAAGAAATGGGGAAATTAAGAATTGGATGAGGCAGTGAGATGGGAAGAACACAGGAGGAGCAGAGGGGAAAAGAGGACAAAAAGCACAACGGTAAATACAAGATAAGAAATGTTTCTTAAAATATTAAGGAAGCAGTTTTAACGTTATATGTTTAAAGCACATTGTTATGTTTGGGACTTAAACAACAATTTTAATAATAATGCGATTTAACCAGGAAAGTCGAGTCTTAACCAATTTTCAGGAAGAAACTCTCATTGTGCAATTTAACCAACTCAAACAGAATGCTTGGCTTGTGGGAGAAAATTATAAAGAAAACCTTCACAAGAGGGGACACCATTCAAAGGACGGCACAGATAGATTCAGGAATCCATTCACTGTGCTGCCATCCCCTGGTCATTTCACAAACTTTGGAAGATTTACAATTCTGCGTGACCTGCGTGATCCACCAACCCTTGCCAAAAAAGATTCGTATCACGGGGAGTGGCGTAGCGTGGTTGGTGTGGACGTGGTTCAATCAAATGATAATTTCCCGACACTTAGTTGCTCAGTGCCCAGGCATCCCGGCCCATGGGCACCGAGCGGCTGATCGCAGGGGTGCGCCACCATACCTGGGCATCAGTGCACATGTGGTATTAATGAGAAAGCAAGACCAGGATGAAATGCGGCGTGCTAAACCGAGAGCGGGACGCTACTGGTGCCTCATCCTGGCCCGTGTAAAGAAAGACGAAGATCCCCCGTACAGCCTGAATAGACTGTTGGGGCAAGTGCTGTTAGCAAGCACCTATGAAGGCCGGCACAGCACACGAGGGGTTGGGTGGCCAACACCACGCCCAGCTGCCTTTGTCCTCCCACTGGTGTTGTTTACACACCACACCAGATACTCATGGGCCTAGGGGAGGGCTCATGATCAGTTCAGATAATCGTCACTGCGGTTGACTGTGAGCAGGAATCGAACTCGGGTCGCCGGGTTCATAGAACAGCATGCTAACCACTGCGCCACCGCTCCCCACCCTGGTGCACACATGCACACACAGTGTTACCGATCTCCTGCAGGATGCTCACAGCCTCCTCCACAGCGTATTTGTTCGGCCGGTCCAGCGCCTGGTCCAGAAACTGTGCCGCCTGCACATTGCACAACGACGACGCCATCGTATCATCACACCATGAGTACGCCTCTCCCACGTGGCAACCCGAGCGCTGGGGAGGCTGTCTACATCCGCGCCCGTCTGCGCAACCACGTGTTTGGTGTTTTCAATTTTAGTCACAGACTTTGTCTCGTCAAGCAGTGGATTTGTATTGAAGTCTTAATCTGGATTACGTTAAGTCATTCTCTTATTCTCCCCCAATAAGTGAACACATGACATAGTTTTATTTAAAAACATCCAATCACCATTTTGGGCTCCACCAGTACACTGCAGTCTCTAAATTATCATAGTCTGCGTCTTCATTCATACGAGCTAATTTCATCTAATTGTAGGTCATGCTTTGCTCGTTGGGGAGTAACAGAGTCATTGTCACGCTTGATGATTTTCGTCCATTCATGGTCATTGTCGCCTAAGTAAAATAGAACATTTTGTTGAAAAAAATAATTTCGGCAATACAGTAATCCCTCGCCACTTCGCAGTTCAAGTTTCGCGGCCTCAGTGCATCACGGATTTTTCCAACTGATTTAAAGGCCTCATTATACCTGTGCAGTAACACCATCATCATCATCATTCATCATCACATTCATCGAACTGCACAGGTCTGTCATCGTCGTCATTGTCATCGTCGTCGTCGTCATTACTGGAGTTAAGTCTCAAGATACTACTGTCATTGGTGAGTGTAGAACACCATAATACGTATCGTATGAGAGAGAGAGAGTGAATGTATAATATTAAGGTTTTATAATTAAATAGATTTAAGTAAAATATATGTGAGTGAGTGAATGTATAATATTAAGGTTTTATAATTTAATAGATTTAAGTAAAATATATATATAAAGTATAAATATACATATTTTAAACATTCTGGTACCCACACACACATATACGGAAATTCCTAGGGGGCCAATCCTACTTCGCGGATTTTCACCTATCGCGAGGGGTTCCGGTCCCCATTAACCGCGATAAACGAGGGATCACTGTAATCTCGTTCAGAGAAGAACTGTGGACCGCCGCTCACCGGGATGTGCGGTGTGTGCAGCTTCACTTGCAGCACAAGGCTCTCAAGCGGCGTGCGCAGGATCTCTGGCGTCTCGAACTCGGGCATGGCGGCAAATTGCTCCTCGGAGAAGAGGTGGTAGGAGAAGCCGGGCTGGCAGCGGCCTGCCCTGCCTCGCCTCTGCACCACATTCGTCTTAGACACCCACACCGTGTCAAGGCACGACACCTGCGTGGCCACACACGAGTTTACGTCACACGCGCGGCAAACACAAATGACGCACGCTGCATCGGCGCTTCCACCGCCTCTCGCCTGTGCTGCACCGATACTTTGGAATGCCAATCAGTCACCTGACACCCCGCACATACACTCACCACTCACACTCATCACGTGCACAGTCAGCACTCCGATACCTGAAAACTCTCTACTCTCACTCGCCAGTCAGTCGTACGGCCTGCCCATTAGCACCGAGTAGGAGGCATCACTGCACGCAGTGCACTAGCGGGATTCATCCAAAAGGTGGAGCCACCACTCAGGGGAGTGAGAGAGGGAGCTCTGGCCATACCTGCGTGCGCATGTCATACTGCTGCAGCTTGTGGCAGCCCGTGTCCACCACGTGCACGATGTCGTCGATGGTGATGGCTGTCTCGGCAATGTTGGTGGCGAGCACCACCTTGCGCACGCCCTCCGGCGGCCGCTGGAAGATGGCCTGTTGGTCGACTACCGACAGGCTTGAGTGCACTGCGGGCCGTGGGGGTAGGGGGTGGGAACAGCGCTGGCATTAGCACTCTCGTAGCGCCACCCGTGCAGCATCACTATGTTCATGTGGGTATACTCACGTGGAGACGGCCAGCAATATTCATCTCGCTGCTCTATAACGTTTTCGCACTGGTGCTTTACAGCTCTTTGATGTGTTTTTTTTTGGGTTGTACCGCGTGTTGGTCGGGACAATGTCTGACGTTTCGCTCTACTTGTTGGCAGCTTCTTCAGGAACAGAATATTCAGTCCCGAAGGAATTCACAATTCCCATTTCCTGTTGGATATTTTTTTTCCAGCCTGTTCTAACTGAAGTCAGATTTTAACGTCCAAAAACTATTGGATCGAGGAGAAGGAAGTGATGGAGAGGCATGGTGGCACCAACAGCACTGGCCGTAACAACCTCTTGATCATAATCCTGACCCTCTGCATTGATGTCGATTACTGTACCACGCACGGGAGTGATATAAACCTTTGGCCTCAGCCTGCAATACAATCCGATCAAATTAAAATGACATGCTAAGCATATTTGTCATCATGGGACCTCCTTTGCCAGTACCAAAATATGAGAATAGGTTTTTTTCCACTTTTTTCTAGCAACAAAAAAACACTTTTCACGAGGAATCATGTCTGCATTAACCACAATACTTGTGGTCAGAATGCAAACAAAAAAACACTCTAATAACATATGCATTGTCTTTGAAACTGATTGGTCCACACCAGAAACAGCTTTCTTTTGAGTCTCGTCTCAAACGGTGTTAGACCAGAGGACGCCAAAAGGCGTACAAAAGGTGTGGACCAATCAGTTTCAAAGACAATGCATATATTACACTTTGGTTCTTTCAGTAAAGTCACATAGAAAGAAATCAAATTAAATAATAATAGAATACGACGTTTCGATTGCAACACAATCAATCGTCATCAGGTACGAATGAATGAGAAAACAAACCTGGGAAACTTAAAAATATAATGCAATACAACACAGAGAATCGGCTAACATAACAGTCAACACCCTACCTGGTTGATTACGTTCTTCCAAAGATTGCTAAATTTGAGAGAGAGACATAACACAGACACGGAGACACATAGACAGACACACAAGCAGAGGGAGACTCACACAAAGGCACACAGAAACAACGCCTATGTGTCGAGGCCTTAAATAGAGAGGGGGGGTGGGGCAGAGGGGGGGGGTAGAGAACAATGAGAGAGTTGTGTGGAACAAACAAGCACGGCCTGCCAAAAGCGGACAGAGGAGCTAGGCACTGGACTTCTAAACAAACAGGCACGGAGAAAGCAAATGTAGTAAAATTAGGAAGTGTAATGCAATGCAACACAGAGTCGGTTAACACACAGTTAACGCATAGCCTGGTTGATTACGTTCTTCCAAAGATTGCTAAATTAGAAGTGTGAAACAAACAAGCATGGCAAATCCTCCCGTAGAGGTGGCTAAAACTAGATTCGAAGCTGTTCCACACAACTCTCCCATTGTTCTCTACCTCACCCCACGCTCTCTGCCCGCCCTCTCTATATTTAAGGTCTCGACACATAGGCGCTGTTTCTGTGTGCCTATGTGTGCGTCTCTCTGTTTGTCTCTGTGTGAGTCTCTCTCTACTTGAGTATGTCTATGTGTCTCCGTGTCTGTGTTTTGTCTCTCTCTCAAATTTAGCAATCTTTGGAAGAACGTAATCCTCCAGGTAGGGTGTTGACTGTTATGTTAGACGACTCTCTGTGTTGTATTGCATTATATTTCTAAGTTTACGAGGATTGTTTTCTCATTCAGTCGTACCCGATGACGATTGCTTGTGTTGCAATCGAAACGTCGTATTCTATTATTATTTAATTTCTTTCTAAGTGACTTTACCGAAAGAACCAAAGAGTAATTCCTGCAGTCACGAAAGCTTCGAATCTAATTTTAATGTATATATTATCAGAGTATGTTTTTTTGCATTCTGACCACAAGTATTGTGGTTAATGCAGACATGATTCTTTATAAAACGTGTTTTTTTGTTGCCAGAAAAAAGGGGAAAAAACCTATTCTCATATTGTCATCTTTAAGGACTTAAAGCTTTGCACACATATGGAGTAGACCTAGCCTCTCGATGACGAAGGGATTTAGTAGGCAGCCACATGATTCAGCGGTCAATGCACTGGGCTGACATTGCCAAGATCCTGGGTTTTTAATTCAAGCTTAATTCGCTCATGATTAAACTTGGTTCTCAAGTGTGGTGAATTGATGACCACGGCCATCCATGACTGCACACAAAAAATGCATTAAATCAGGTTTTTAACAACTGGCAAACATTTACCTCCAAGAATCTAACTCTACTGGTCTGACAGCCATGCCGAAAACGTTTCCATGTAGCAGGGCACGCCAGAAAAGTGCTCTCCCCTATCGTAGATGAAAAAGGTCACTTGAAGGAATCTCAAAGGTAATTCTGTGATATCATTTTCTGCAAACAGTTATCTAACATGGGGTGATTAAAGAGTTATGAATTGACACTGTCACATTTGAGACAAAAAAGGGATTCACCTGGCAAAATAAGGTGCTTGTCTAAGCGGTTGTTTAAACGCTGGGAGAGTTTGTCCATCACCCCTCGAATCTCCTGCCAGCCTGGCAAGAAACAGAGCACTCCCCCTGGAAACAACAGCATGACAGCATTAGAGCATACAGCTGGCACATCCGAGCACAAGTGCAGGCAGAAAATACATTACCAAAGACGTCACCACCTATTCAAGGCAACATATGTATGTTGAACTTCTTTAGTACCGAAAGTAGACAACAGTGCTAATTGGAGGTGCGGCTGTGTAAACTAAAAAACTAAACTATTCTAATTTTACCAATTAAGGTCCACCAAGCTATTTAGCTCTTTTTCAGAAGCGACCTGGCCACAAACGATAGCTCAATGAAGTGGCTTATGTGGAAATGCTATAGCAGCCAATACTCTAAATCAGGGATGGCCAACCTGTAACAGACCAAGAGCTAAAAAGTACTAATGAATTCTGCAAAGAGCCAAGTATATAAATGTGCATCTATATATTGACAGTTTTTGGCACAGTACGGCAGACATTCATTATTTTTTTATACTTTGATAGTATGTTCTACATTATGCCCCTTCGACAGAGCCAATTGTGGTGGATTATAAAAGAACATGCAGTTCGAGAGATATCAGTTGGCCACCGCTGTGTTAAACGCATTATCTTGATTCTAAATGTGGAGGGAAAAACGGGAGAACTCAAGAGAAAAATCCACTCGACCATTGAGAGAACGTGCAAACTCTAAACATACAAGCATCAGGGTCGGGATCGAAACCATCACCTCCTTGCGGGTGTGGTTTTGTAGTGTGGCTGTTAAAGTTAGTGCAAGCATCGACCACTCCAGGTCAAGGAAAAAGGGGATGATAGGATTAATTATCAACATCACTCCCCTGACTTATAATGAATGAATAGTGCAATTTCATTGTGCACGTCTTATTCGTGGATCATAGGATGAATTTGCCACTGGACCCCACTTATCCATGAAAATAAGCGAATAGAAGTTCTTACATCAATTAAGGGCTGCACATAACAGCTACATTTCACTGATGTTAGTTACACAATGACAATAATCACATATGTAGCAACTGCTTTTTGACTAATATTGAGAGCTTCAAGGGACTGCATTCTAAAATGTCTCGAGTCACAATTCTTTTTCTGCTTACAACCAAAGAAGGTCCACCGACCCCTAGTGTACACGTATTATTCGTTATTTAGTGGTGAGGTCGGTATCAATATTTTCCATTTGTTTGTCATGAGAGAGCTGCAGTGCGGACCTGGCGTGCCCCGTGAGCAGATAAACTCCACGACTTCAGCGACAAAATCCAGGTCGGGCGCGGGGTCATCAGAATCCTGCACACCGGGGTTATGGGACAGCACAAACCCACACGCGCACATGTGTTACACACACACAAACTCACACTGGAACCGTGTGTGTCATGCAAATATACAATTATATAGATCCACTTGGGAGCCTCGTTCAAATATTTGTCCAAGTACACATGCCACACGGACATACAAGCACGCACACCAACACATACGTATACAGTAACATCTCTTGAGGCTGGACTCGAGGAAGATGAAATTTGGGTTATTCTGCAAAGACTATCGTGAAAATAAGAAAAATTACAAAAATCCAAAAAAACTAGACTACTGTCCGCATGCTAAATAATCGTGGGTTAGAATGCGGCATTCTGTAGGCCATCCACATGCATCGGTCTGTCACATGGTCTGCTGGTGTTAGCATTACAACAATAATTGCTTTCTGCAAAACAGTGAAATGTTAAATTAAAACTTACTTGAACGAAAAGAGGACAACTTTGGATTTAATCGAGTCACTTCTACTCCTCGACGGACACCGAGTGATTGGCACAGACCGACGAGTGGCGCCGCCCCCGCACGCACCTTGCTCGGCGGGTGGCGCTGCATGAGTTGGCACACGTTCCGCAGGTGGTACGGCGTCACGGGGTACAGCTTGCCGGGCACTCGCAGCACCGTCGCACCGCCGAAATACTGGGCGAGGCGCTGCGTGTCGGGCGTGGCGGACGCCAGCAGCAGGCGCAGGCGCGGATTGCGACGCAGCACGTCGCGCAGGAGCACCAGCAGGAAGTCCGTGCCCACGTCGCGCTCGTGCACCTCGTCCAGGAGCACGTGGCTCACGCCCAGCAGGTCCGGGTTGCTCTGCAGCTTGCGCAGCAGGATGCCCACAGTGCAGAAGAGCACCGCACCCCCCGGCGTGGGAGGAGAACTCTCCATGCGCACCTACCCGACGCGGCGACATAGGCGGTAGCGGAAGCTGAAAATCACCACATTTCTGGGAGGCTCAACTAGGACACATGTACCCCTTTTCTGTTAGGACATCCAAGCCAGGCCAGCGTGTGGCCCTCACGGTAGGGGTAGTTTTCCACCGGCTATTTAACGAGCCAAGCCAAAACCAAACTTCAATACCATGGCCTCACAAGACATCCGATTCTGGCCTAGGACCAAGTAGAAAAAAATTAAGCGTTAATTTCACGTGGCGTCAGTACACTGTGAAGACACAGCGTCATCACTCCATCATCTACACGTGACTCAACCAGTTCATTAAATGTGACATTAATGGCACGGCTCTGATGCTACAGTGGAAAAACTATCTGGTACCTCTTTTGAGTTGTGCCAGGCTCGGCCATCAAAGGTGAGCAGGCAGAAGTTACTTTCTAAAGTCTAGGGGCGAAAGGGCTGCCAGATCCAATCAGCCACTTGCCTCGCTCTTTTCTTACGTTGGTCGCGTCTACTGCTCATAGGCCATGGTTATGCCATTTATTGTGAAAATTCCGTCAACAGTTCCTATGATTGCTTTTTCATTGCTTTCATGGCTTTATTTTGGTGATTTCGAAAAGTGTATTGGTTTAGCCATGTTTGTTTGTTGTAGTACAGAGTTAGACTGATGGCCTTAATCTAAGTTGTCTTATGGTTGTTGTTGTTGTTTGACTTGCATCCCACTGGGATTTTTGCACACAGCGTTGGTGTATGGTTTTTTTTCTGCAATATTTTGCTGTCTTTTCTTGGATTTTCTGTTTGCACTTAGTCACATATTCACTTTAAGATATTTTTTGTTCATGTTTTTTGTTTGTTGCAGTTGAACCCGATTCAAGAGCCGAATGGCTCACAGGGCTATATCTAATAAATGAACTTGAACTTGAACTACTCCACTGCCAGCCCCACTTACTACCCATATAGCCCCAATCTTTGTCCAAATCATGAGTCGAGCAAGAGGCCAGAAAATTTCAATTGGGACCAAATCCCATTTTTCTTTCAAATGCTTCTGCATGCCAAGGACAGCCATTAATAAAACGGGACCATTCAGGCAAAACCAGCAAGTTTGGTCACTTTAGCAACAGCATTAGCTGGGCATGCAACAAATTAACCCCCTCTAGCCAAACATGTCGCTTTAATGAACTGTCACATTATGGTGGTTGTTACTCGCTAAAAAAAATCGATCCTAGTCTCGTTTTTATCATAAAATGTTTATTTTGTATGAATGTTTCTATTTTGTTAACTCCATTTGCCTAAATGTAAGACTATCATCATGTAAATAAACATTGGATAAATAGTTAATTACGTGCATGAATGAATGCATGTATCATGACAAAAGGGCTATACACGTACATTAAAATTATGATTATACTACAAAAGCAGTTAACACACTGCTCATGCCGCCTGTATGTATATATAATTTCTTTTGCACCATATGTATACAACTGTGCGAATCAGAGGTGTGGGGGAAGGACGACAAACTAAATACGAAAAGCAGCTTTAAAGAAATGAGTTGTTAATTTAGATTAAAAATACATAGCTCCAGATGCTTCCTAATATCGGAAGAGAGTTCCAGACGGCCGCAGAAAGCGCATCTGAATGCACGCGATGCAGTAATGGGTTAGCCAAAACGCCGTTGCTGCAAGGATGCCCTTTAGCCTGAAAAAAACGCGAGTGTCGTGAGCACCACGCACCTGGTACCCGATGTTCCTGCGCAGGTGAGGTCCGAGCTCTTGCCGCACGCGCTGGCACACCGACACGGCGCTAATGCGCCGCGGCTGCGTCACCACCACGTTGCAGTGGGCGCCGGTGCCCGCGCGCGACACCATGCTCTCCAGAATCAGCTGCGGGATCTTGGTGGTCTTGCCGCAGCCAGTCTCGCCCGCCACAATCAGCACCCGCCTGTCCTCCGCCTCCAGCGCGGCCAAGATCTCGTCACGATGGTCCAGGATGGGCAGAGGGTCCTCGCCAGGGGTCACGGGGGGGTTGGCGGCGCGCCACCGCGACAGCAGCTCTTCGCTCAGCTCTTGCGCTTGCTCCGGGGTGAACGGCTTGTAGGGGCGGCCCGTGAACACGCAGCGCACACATGCCTCCTCCTCCGCTGGATCCAGCACCTGCGCGGCCTCCGAGGACTGTGTGTAATTTTCGCGCTGTGGAACATAAACAATAATAACAGTTTACAGCCCTGTCAAGCCACTAATCTAATGAACCCTGAAGGCGAGAGGATTAGTTGGTTGACCAAAAATTGTAATGAACTACTTTTTTCGTGATCAATTACTCAGGTGCCTATATAAATTTAAAATGTTCCCACATCCTTCCCTTCGAAGGCAGGGAACCCGAAGCACTGCTCAGTGTGACGAGGCCAATGATGCTGATAGCACCATGCTCTGCCCATCATTTCCTTTCCAGCGGTAGATTAATTGATTAATTAACTAAATAATTGATGAATTAACTAAATAATTGGATATCCCGGCGGTAATTTATCCTCGATATCCTGTTCCATATTGAGAAGCAGGCTATGATTAAATCATTGCTTGGAGATCTACAACGTGCATCAGGAAGGTAAAGTGCTATTAAATTACATTTTCTGAAATAAATTCAGATATTTATTGTCCACTCTGCGCCAGATGGTGCGTTCATAAAGGTTTCGTGCAGCATTGGAAGCTGGAGCAATAAAATATCACAGCCTATAAAAACAAACTCAGTGAGCATGACAAGATCTACCTGTGTGAACTACTGTCAAGTGAAGCATTACCACAAAGGTTTATTGGACATTTCCGTCAACTTCCAACAGTGCGTACTGCAGTCAACAAAATTCCCTCCCATGCTGCTTAACACTGCTTTTCAGTCACCCGTTATAAATTAATTGCAAGCTGAACCTGCAGCAGGAAGTCGTGGAGGCGTGTGGCGAGGGCTGGGAGCAGCCTAATGGGAGTGGGTCGCCGGTGCTGAGCGTGCATGTCCTGCAGCGCCGTCTTATTATAATCAACGTTTCTCAGCGGGCGGTTGCCGCTGTCCAACAACCCCATTTCCTGTGGGGGCAGAGATGAGGAAATGAATGAAACACATCACGTATATAGAAATGCATCGATTATAAGCACAAAGCGAAACTATTTAATATGCACTCGCAGGCATGCTCCAAAGTCGACGCAAGTTCACACACTGGGACAATTGGGCAAGACACGAGTTCCCATGGCAGCCTTCCGAGATCAAACTGGTACCCTTGGGGCCACGTGCCTCTCTTTCAGTGGTTCACGTGACTCCATTTTCATCCAGGCCACCCTCAAAACCAGTTGTGACATCATGGGGTCAAGGTGAAAGAGACACCCAGAGTTAGTGGCATCTCTCACTATGGTCAAATTCAGAGCTGTGTTTCTCTAAAAACACAACTGCTGAATATTAAAAAATATTAGATTATGCCTCGGGATAGCATAACCTAACTCCAGAATAAACTACTTGTCTTCACAATATACTATCAATGCGCACATCGTTTGGACATGACCGTCTGTTCGTCTGTCCCTCCCTCCCTCCAGCCAGCCAGGCAGCCAGCCAGAAAACTGTTTTTGATAATACAGCATGATAAATGATCGCTCTTGTGGAGTGCTGGGACAAGAAACGAGCCACGCGGGGTCCTTGTTAGAATGGTCCAACGCGGCTATTCCCGAGGGTGAAAGGTCATTGAACGCAATCAGGTGGCGGCTGCTCAAACCTTAAAAGAGGCACACGCCATTGCGCAGGCCCGTTTTATGGCCTCGTTCTTCTTGGGAGCGTGCGCCACAAACACCATGTCCTGTGGCCACTGAAAGACGCAGGTGGCACTCGAATGGCCGCTGTTCCGTCACCGTGAAACGCACATGCTTCTGCACAGAGGGACAGCGGAGTGGGTAGAGAGTGCAGTTAGATCAGCAGACATTTGATTTTACAGGAATTACTGCTGCTCAATTCTAAAACTAAACACAAAAATATTTGTATTTTACCAGTTAAGGACCACTGAGGTAAATAGCTCTCTTTCAGAAGAAATCTGGCCACAAATGATAGCCCAATGAAGTGGCTTATCACGTGAAAGTTTATCGCAGCCAATTGCGCTAAACGCATGTTGATTCTAAATGTGGAGGGAAAAACTGGAGGACCTTGAGAAAAATCCATGTGTCCATGGGGAGAGAGACATGCAAACTCCAAAATACATGCGTCAAGAGTTGGGATCGAACCCACGACCTCCTGTATACTGTGATTAAAGAGTTCACAGTGGGTTTCATGCTGCCGTCGTCAACATACTCAGAGGTGTTCCAGCAAAGAATTCACGCCAGGTCTGGCCAGGAAAATGACATTATGTAGTGAAAGAATAAGACCCTAAGTGATTCCATGCATGAGACTGAAATAAAAAACAAATAATAATTTCCAGCCACTCAATCCACCAATGGATGAAGGTCTCGCCATGTCACGTCAGTCAGGTTTTGACCATACTTCACCACTGCCATCAGTTTATGTTGGTAAAAAGAGGAAGCGCAGGACCGGTTCTGGTATCACTCGCCAATGATGTTAGCCATGTCTGGGAATCAAATTCTAGTGGACGGGCTCAAGGGTGAAGCGTGCTAACAGTGGTTAGCATGTACCACTCCATCCCCCTTATATGAAAAACGTGCCTATCTTACAAAAAGCTAATGTAAAATCTGATTATCTGGTGAATACCTAGAGTAAAAGTGGAACACACGGTGCGGAAAATAATCTACGGTGCTCATCACGTTATCGATATTAAAAGTGTGTTAGAAAATCTCTAAAGTGTAAAAAAATAAGTAGCATGATACTCACTTCTGCAGAGGGGGAGGCGGTGGCGATCTGCACTACTGACAAGAGCAGCGTCTTGGAATTGGGAAACTTCTGCATCAACTCGGCCATCTCCGAAGCGTGGCTGATCTGCTCTCTTGTCCTACGAGGGCCAAGAGTTGTCAATTACAATCTGGCCAGGTTGCCTAAGTCATATTTATTATTATTTTTATTATATCGTTTGTCATGTTTCAGAGAAATACAAAAAATGCAAACGGCTGCTATTTTCACCAAACACAAGAATAACTAACATATGAGTGCAACATTCACTGATCAAAGTTTTGCAAAAGACTTCACCATCTGCACCTCATAGCTCTGAGTAAATCATGTTTTGAGTGGAAAGCAAGATGCTTGTAATAATTCTAATTTATTTACTCAGCAAAGCCTCCATGAGCCTCAAGACCTTTTTTCGCAGGAGGGTCCTGCTACATTGGAATGATTGGCCAATATAAGGGCGGTTGGCTAAGTACGTGCGAAAGAAGTTCAACAGACATACATATATGTGTTAACATATAGTAAACTAAATAACTGGAAAAAAACCCATGCATACACAAGGAGGTGATGCTCAGCACATCAATCTCATGGCAATCTCAATAGACCCAAGAATATAACACCTGGGGGACCATGGTGGTCACTAATCCCAGTCAGAAACCAGACTTCAATCTGTTCAGCTTCTGAGAGGTGATGAAATTGGGGACATTTATGGTGATTTAGTTGATAGGGTAATTTTGCCATAGGAAAGTGGATGCCCATGCAAGAGATACTTTTTTTTTTATATATGTCTTTTGAGTAGAAGCAGTGCATAGGCCACAATGAGATGGGGTTCGGATAGTGGCTCTGCCAGGGAAGGCACACTGAAACCCTTTGATCAATGACCAGTTTTGTATCAGGGAAGTCCCTAATAACATCACAACCTTATACTAAAGTTTATTTTTCATATTGGGTCATCTTTATGCGAGTTATCATGTCCCCCCACCCCGCCATTCGTACAGATGGAACACATTGCTGTTTTCAACCTCAGATGGAAAGCATTCAAAACTGCTCACAGTTATGATGCAGCAAACACAACCTCAAGAAGGCAGTAATGTTGTAGACTCGGACCTACCTCTGGAATGGAGCACCTCTATGTCCTCTCCCAGCAGGGTTATTTCTCTGGTACCTTCCCATGTCTGCATTATCTCCTGCTTGAGAGATCAAGGCCAGGCTGTTGGCCTGCTTCTCTGGGACACCCAGCTGGGATGCAATGGCCTGGTATTCGTTACAGCTCAGAGGCTTATTGTTTGCCGAGATCCACCCTTGCTCCTGCAACACAGTGCCAATGCATTAAAACCAATGTCTGCATAGGCCAGAATGCAAAGTTTTCTATTTTAAATTTGTGCAACACATTTTTTCAAGATGATGAACAAAACATATCACGACCTGAGATCAGGGTGTTCTGAGAGAAAGGGCATAGTTACTCGGTTATACTGGTAGGAACCTCCTGGTTACACCAGCCCACAGGGGATTATTGTGTCCGTCGTGCAGGGAGGGGCTGGGTGGGGAGGGGAGAGTGGGGATGGGCTGGGTAGGGCTGGGTGGGGAGGGGATGAGTGGGGAGGGGCTGGGTGGGGAGTGGCTGGGTGAGGAGGGGCTGGTCACCCCGTGGTGCCCTTATAAAACTCAACGTTTAACCTACTCACGCCGGCTTGTGCCCGCCCTCACAGTCGGCCATATTTGCGGAATACACCACGCCGCCGTTGACCCTGGCCATTGACTGAGCAACCCAACGTTCCTACCAGCTCCCACCGCAGGAATATGTTATTCTTTGGGTCTTTCAGGAAAGTCACGTAGATAGGTTCAAAGAAAATAACAAAAAACTACGACGTTTCGATCGCTACACAAGCGATGATGACCACTTGTGTTGCGATCGAAACGTCGTAGTTTTTTATTTTCTTTGAACCTATCTACGTGATTTTACCGAAAGACCCAAAGAATATTAATTCCTGCAGTCACGAGAGCTTTAAGTAAAGATTTACTCGGTTATGTTAAGAAAATTAATGTACGGACGCATCTCATTTAAATGTATGTGTATGCTCACGATACATGTATTGAATCGTGCACGTGAAAATGCATGCTTTGAGATTTGTGCAAATGATATACTATTACATTTAAAATAATGAACAAAATCTTACAGAAAAGACCAAAAAAAACCAGAAACAATACATCATGAACCGGACAATGATAATTCATCTAAATGGTAGGGGGTTCTTGAGTTTAGTTAATTTTATGTAACCAAGTCAGAACTCAAGAGATCAGAACAGTCTCACTTTCAAGATGTGACCTGGGTCACAAACATGACAAAGAAAACCAAATCAGATCAAAACAACCGCATTACAGAAGAAATAAAAAAAAATCTAAACAGATATGCATAGATATTGTAAGTAATTAAATTTCCTGTAATGTACAGAACGAGTTACATGAAGTGTTACGAGTCATGAATAACCACCTTGAGCCTGGCACAGGCGACAGCAGCAGCATGCCTCTCTGCCTGCAACTTGCGCCATCCGAACCCCTCAGTGCGCAGATTCACTGGCCACATCACCGACAGTACGCTCCGCTGGGGGTAAAGCACACAGTCCACAATCTTTGAGACTATAAAACTAAACCGTTTTCATTTTACCAGGTAAGGCCCACTGAGCTATACAGTAAAACCTTGGATTGCGAGTAACTTGGTCTGCGAGTATTTTTCAAGACGAGCACATTTTTAAAATAAATATAAATTTGATAAACGAGCGAGGTCTTGCAATACGAGTAGTACGTGTATACGCTTTGTCTGCCGAGCGTCACGTGATCACAACTGATATACCAGTGCTTTGGATCACAAACACGTTCCGGAACAAATTATGCTCGCAATCAAAGGTTTTACTGCATATCTCTTTTTCAGAAGTGACTTGGCCACAAATTATAGCTCAACCAAGTGGCTTATCATGTGGAAATTGACAGCAGCCAAATACTCTTAAACGCATGTTTCTGATTGTGGAGGGAAACCCGGAGGACCCGGAGAAAAATCCACACAGCCACGGGAAGAACGTGCAGACTCCAAATATACAGGCATCAGGGTCGGGATCGAAGCCACTACTTCCTATATACCAGGCGAGGTAGTTAACATCTCGCCACCATGGTACCTTCGACAATACAATGTTAGAAATGTAATTTGCACGATCGAGCATGAGTCTATCCTTGGACTCACAATGAAATACAATTTATATTGGTATCACTGACAATGTGCATATATCTAGCAACATAATACATGCACAGCATAATAGTTAGTACAAGAGCACCTACATAAATTTAAACTTATTTTTAAAAATGCAGTCAATTAAGCAGAAAAACGGTTGAAGTGATGGATGCTGTCCTTATTTAATCCAACAACAACAATTATGTACCAAATTAATAGCTAGCTTCCTAAGCAGTGTTCAATTAGAATACAATTGTCTACTTCCAATACAGTACATTATTAAATTAAAATATTACAAAGATTAGGAATCTGAATCAGTTGTATGTGTTTATCAATCTGGAAAGTATCTCCGTCTCGGTCAAAGTAAAAACTTGCAAAAGATAGCCAACTTCAACCCGAATATGTGCCAGGCCTCGACAACTTCCATCCCAATCTGCACTGCACCTTGAGCCTCCCATCGTAGTTGGTGTAGGAGAGTTTGGTGGGGCATGTGGTGGCACTCGCAACGTGTTCCAGCACTGTCCTCAGCAGGTCCTTAGGCAGTGGGAACTCTTGAAGCAAGGCTTCTTGCTCATCTGTGGATGTTCAGTGCAAATTTTAATCACATGGAATTTAAACAGCTTCTCCCGTTACGATGTGTGAATGATGAGCGGCAGTTCACATTGCTAAGCCACAGAGTGAATCCATTACTGAATTCCATATCCATGGAACAGCATGATATCACCAATGATATCATTGTAAACTTTGAGATCGGAAATATAATATTCAACCTATGGAAGTTAACCAAGCACATACGGATTCAACCACTGTCTATGCGAACGAATATATTTTTGTGTATCGCAAAAATGCTTGAAATTCAAATGTAATCTTTGTATATGAAAATGGTATGTGGTAACCAAGGTAAAGGATTTTCTTAAGACTATACCACTCGCATCCAAACGCTAACTTACATCGTGTGCAAAAGGGAAAGGTGCAGCCCTGAAATGACTTGCTCACAACACTGCTGGCAGAGATGCCTCTACTAGAGAGAGCATAAGAGAGCCCCTGTAAAGAGGCATGAGTACGTCCATCAAAATCAGAACATTGATTTATACTGAGCGATAACGCTATTTTTCACAGATGTCCAGTCTGCTCTTCCACACTGGCCAGATGTCTTTGGAGAGGTGAACGTACTAACACTTTACCCCATCACACGTGTCCTGTTGACCGACTGTGGTGTCCCCATTCACAATACCGTACTGTATATTGCTGTATCTTTAGAACTGCTTTTTGTGTTTAGATTGTTGTCATTCCACTGCACCTCCGATCAGCACGATTGGCTACGTACGGTGCAAAAGAAGTCCAACATCATGCAATCACTTTGAATTTTACCAGGTAAGGCCTACTGAGCTATGTAACTCTTTTTCAAAAGCGAGCTGGCCACAAATGACAGCTCAACAAAGTGGTTTATTACGTGAAAATACATGGCAGCCAAATACTGTAAACGCGTGATGTTGATTATAAAATGTGGAGAGGAAACCCGGAGGACCCGGAGAAAATTCACACGACCACGGGGAGAACATGCAAACTCAAAATATAAAGCGTCAGGGTCGGGATTGGGATCGAGCCCACGACCTCCTGTACACCAGGTGACGGAGTTAACATCTCGCCACAGTTGCAGTCACCAACCCATCTGCTATTGGGTTTCTCTACGACAGCAGTGGCTTGCCGTAATCTCCGGATGATTATAAGACTCGATTACCCCTGTACGTATTCTCAAGCAAACATTGGGATGTGTAGGTATGCGTGTGGCCATACGTGTAGAACTCTACCGACGCAGCGTACAAATTTGAGGAGCTTCTTACTATCCGCATCACCCTCTTAAGCCGGAGGACGCAAGACGGGCCCCGCCTCAGAGGGTGACATTGAGCAGCGCATGCATCGCCACAAAACACGTGCTACCCTTACCGCGTGTCTACGCTTCACCACAAAAGACTTCGAATTAACGCAGAATAATACAACGCCGCCGTTACGCGGACTACAAAAATCGTACAAAACAACCACCCGACACGAGCCACTGCGGCGCTTGTGCCAGGCGAGGTGCAACCTTGAGGCCACGTGAAAGTGCCAGCAGGCTGTGACATGTTACGGGACAGAACCAAGCGTACCCATGTGGAGGTTCAACCCAAGTGACCGACAGATCTAACGCACACGACGAAGAATTCCACTCGCCTGAGTACCCGGCCTCGAGCCCCCCCCCACCACCACCGGCAGCAGCCTGGCTGGAGGTGACGGCGGCCGCCACTCCGCGCCTCCCCGCCGCGCTCTCCACGCCGCCGGCACGGAGCGAGCCCGAGCAGCGTCGCGCTCCTGCTGCTGCTGCTTGCGGAGGAGGAGGAGGGGGGCCCCGAGCTGCCTCGCTGCTGCTGCCCCCTCCCAGCCAGGCCGAACGCGCCGTGCCGAGGCGGCCAAGGCAGCGCGACAAAAGCAGCACGCGTCCCGTGGCCATCTCGGTGGTCGGAGCCGGTGTGGGCCCCAGCGGTCGTGGTGGTGGCGGTAGTGGCAGTGGCAGCAGCGGCGGTGGTGGTGGTGGTGGTGGCACCGGTGGTGGCGGCTTCCGCGCAGCCGCCGCGAGGCCGCAGCGGCCATGTTGTTCAGGGAGAGATGAGTGGGTGATGGGGTTTCGACGAGTTGACGGGTTGCTTCGCCTGTGAGGCAAGAGGTAGCGATTCATACGCCACTCGAGGCATTCGTCGGGAAGCATTGTTGTTGTTGATGTGGATGTTGTTGTTATTCAGGCGTCATGGTGTTACCGCTTTCGTGGTTAAGTCCCGTCTCTCCGTCTCACCCGACACCCCTCCTTCCGCTAATCCGACCTACGTGCTGCGATGGACCCGTTGCTCGAAACGTCGCCTAGTACAGTGCAATATATATTTGCATTTCAGTTGACGAACGCGGGGCCGACTTACTCCTGACTGTAACGCTGCAGTGGCGCTTAGGAGTGTGGAGCTCCGGCATCATCACGGCGCGACAACAAGTGGCGCGCGATTTCGCTCCCCCTTACCAAGATGGCCGCCGCTCTGACCCGGTCGCGCGCCGATGCCGCTCGTCCCCCCATCGCCTCCGCGGACCAATGGGGAGCGCGCGTCTCGCGCCTGCGACCCCACCCCCATTCACCCCCCCGCCCCATTCACCTTCAACGGGGGGGGTGGGCAGCGCACGCGGTGGTGGTTGGAGCTCGGGCTTCGTCGACGTTGGCAATGGGGCAACCCCCTCAACCTCAACCCCCCCACCCCCTCACCCCCCCAACCCCCCCACCCCCTCACCCCCCCAACCCCCCCACCCTCTCACCCCCCCCCCCAACCCCGCGATTGGTCGAGGCCCTGCCGGGAGCGAACAAAGGGCGAGTTGGCGCGTGCGCGCACGTGTTTTACGTTTTCATTTAAAGCTTTCGTGACTGCAGTGATTCATATTCTTGGTTCTTTCGGTAAAGTCACGTAGAAGGGAAATAATAAAATAATTTGGTTTATATTTATATTATTTTATTATTTCCCTTCTACGTGACTTTACCGAAAGAACCAAGAATGTGCTTTACGTTGTTGCCCCCATTCAAATGCTTAATACTGTCCCCCGCAATACGTGGGATGGCGTAGGTGTACAGGGGGTAGTGGCGTGCAAGCCACTGCGAGCTATGCACGGTTTAGTTATCGTTCATCCGCATCTCCGATGAGCACGGTTGCTTATGTCTGGTGCGAAATAAGTTCTACATGCATACATTCCCGTTTGCATGTGGTCGGGGTAAATCAATGCGTTGTCAAGATGCATCTCATCTTAACGTAATTTATATAGCGTTTTGACCAAGGCCCTATAGAGAATTAGCAATGGTACATATATGAATGTAATGGAGGTGAATGAAATAGATGAAGTAATGAACGAACCGGATGCGTGGATTAAAGCAAAATTTGAGCAAATTAATAGTTGGATGGGGAATGAGTGCTCGCCATGGAGAGATTATGAATAGAAGGATCGATAGTGATTAACGGCCACTGCAGGATAATTACGTGGCTCAATACAAATAAATAAACGTGCAGCCCTGTTGCAAGTCCACTGCTGGATGAACAACTTCCCACGCCGCGTCGGTCATGGGAGTTGTTCGGTCATAGTCCTAAACCAAAATTGTTAGTGCGAATTGAAGGTGAGACATTAATGGGTTCAGATGGCACTCGCCACTCAGGATAGCCGTGCCCAAAAATCGAACTCGGGCCACCGGGTTCACAGCAGTGCATGAATTCTGGCGCCACCACTTAATTCAATCCCAATAACATAACAGTACTCGACTGTATGCGAGAACCCATTGAGAAAAGTCTATTTTGCAATAGGCCAAGTTAAAGAATGCATTTTTTGTATAATGCACGTATACCTACAATGGTGCGTTGTTAAACATACTTTCGTTCAACTGCAGTGATATAATTTGACCAAAGGGCACAGTAAAATTGCAGAAAAACCCAGTTCCCACGATCCTCGTTTCATTCCCAAATGGTTGAATATTCCTCCGATACCTCCAGATGGAGTTTTTACTGGTAGGAACCTCTGGTTACACCAGCCCACAGGGGATGATTGTGTCCGTCCGTCCGTCGTGCAGGGAGGGGCTGGGTGGGGGTGGGGCTGGGTGGGGAGGGAGGGGCTGGTCACCCCGTGGTGCCCTTATAAAACTGAACGTTAAACCTATTCACGCCGGCTTGTGCCCGCCCTCAGTCGGGCATATTTGCGGAATACACCACGCCGCCGTTGACCCTGGCCATTGACCGAGCAATCCAACGTTCCTACCAGCTCCCTTCGCAGGAATGTGTTTTCCTTAACCGAGAACTTTCAACTTGCTCGTACACACGCAGTATCCGTGCAGTGTCTGTAATCATCTGCGCACATTAACAAATATATCTGCTCTCATGCGTTTGTTTTCCCTTTGCCTGCAATTGCATCCGTTGCTTCTTTCATCGGGTGCTTCAACACAGTACTTTACCCTCGACTCGTTCATATTGCAATACTTAACCATAGGCGATTATGGAATCGGGGGGGTTGTGCATTTCTAAATTTGACAGATTAAAAACAACTACTTATAGGTTTCCTTGTTTCACTGTACAGGGGAAAATCGCATGTTATAAACTTCCCTTAACACTTCATGTAAAGCTTCTACGTGCTTTGAGACTAAAAATGAACAAGCATGTCAATCCCTTCTGGATTAAGGCTTCCCCATTTCGTTGGTCGTGGATGTAGAGAAGACATGTCTAAACGTCTTGGTTTGTTTGTAGAGCCCACCGCCCGGTAATGTCTACTGAAAAGTTAAATGCGAAAACATTGTTTACACAAGACAGACCATCAGTTGACAGCTTTGCAATGCGATCCCATTGCTCAACACTAGAGCGCGCTTATACTAGATTGACACCTATAAATTTCCACATACGCCACAAAGTTGAACTTTAATTTGTGGCCATGTCGCTTCTGAAAATTAAGTTATAGCTCAGTGGGATTTACCTGGTAAAATCACGTTTATTTCGTGGGGTACTTACCTTTCCAATACTTTGCACTTTTTGTAGTTTGCTGTAACTTTCTGACTTGTCCCACTGGACATCTGTGAAAGAGTTCTCTAGCTCAGATTCCTCCAGGATACCTATGATAATATAATCACCCAGGAATGTGTCCTTCACGCTCGTGACGTCACTCCACATCGACCAGCCCCCCTCATTAATATTCATGAGCAAATGACGTCCTCCAAATGGACACCCCCCCCCATCCCTCATTAATAATCATGAGCGGGTGACTCCACTCAATATGGAGTAAATCCACTCACTAATTATAATGCTCAAGTGACGTCACTCATTGACCCCCCCCCCTCATTAATAATCATGAGCCGGTGACGTCACTCCACAAAACCATCCCCATAATCATTATAAAGTGACGTCCTCCAAATGGACACCCCCCCATTCCTAATTAGCGGGTGACGTCACTCCACATGGGGGGCGAGGCGCCTCCTCCCCCCTCCTCAGCGTCAACTTACAACCCTCACTACAACGGCAGAACCCTCACTTCACGCGATCTGCGTAACGCTTTTGAGACATCAAAGTAAAAAGGAAACCATAACGAAGAAGGGATTATAACCTTAGAATGAAATAGGTCTGTCACCGCGCGCCCTCTCATTGATACAATGAATATCACGTCGCGGTCTGCTTTTTGCTTGCAAGTTTCAGATTTACTGCAATACACCCGTCCTTGGACGGGCAAAAGGCTAGTAAATTAAGATTCTGAACAGCCGTCATAACTGCGTGCACAATTGGCCTTAAATTGTAAACACCGACCACTTGAATCGCGTGGCAATAGCGCACATATATAACCAATGGGAAACTATTTCCCCCATTATGAATGCCTTAAATTTTAGATTTTATAACATCACCTGTATGAACGCATGACCAGCAGATTTAATCGAGGTTTTTTTTGTTTGTTTTAATTGTATTAAGCAATGTTCTCAGTGGTATATTTGTTTAAAGTTATAACGCCCATCTCCCCGAAAGCAGCGGGTTATATACATACCGGGTACATGTACAGCTTCTAAATGTATAATTTGTGTATAAAGACATTTTTTTAATATATACAGGAGAACAATTCGTAACTTTCTACAACAAAATACCTTTAACATTAAACTATGTTCTTCTGATCAAAAAAGATCAACAATGCTCGCAATCACACAAGCAAATAGTAAATGCTACTTACGTGCGAAGTAGAATTATACATATTGTACACTGACGGCCAGTAATAACTGGGATTATGTCTTCGCTCTACAAACCAGTCATGTCACATAGCGGTAATAAATACCAAACACTTTAGTGCACACCAACCATTTTTAGTGCACGTGAGACCTCTCGGCTACCATTCCAACAAGCAAGCAATGGAGCAACAAAAACCTAACTACACGTGACATTTGGTCAAAACAACTGCTCAGTTACATAACCTCTTTATAAGAAAATGAAGAAAAAAGTTACCCATCAAACAAAACAGACGTTATCCCATTTCATGTTCATCTCCACTAAATCACATTATCAAATTAAGCCAAACTAAACATTTTCACCTTTTTTGTTATATAGTGTTTGCTTTACATTGGCAACCATTCACCAACATCCCACCAACTTTCAAAAGCTGTCCATCTAGAAACATGAAAATGGAGAGTATATCAACAGCAATATAATTCCATGTACATGCATTGATGTAGAATGTTAATGTCATAGCAAAATGCACAACCCAGAGCTCAGCACTGTAGACTATCAAAAGCATTTTTTGTAGAGGTGGTTCTCCTTGGGGTTTTAAGATGCCCAACCTTCATCAGAGAGAGTTTGTTCTACGAGCCGTTCGAAGCATTGCAGAGTACCTTGTCATTGTTCCTGCTCTGGTACGACCAAGCCCCTGTGACGAGCCATGTGAGTTGCACTTCTCACCAGGGGGGGTTTCGGCATGCGCGTAATCACACGATGACCAACGCTGCACATCATTAGAGGCGTCCACAGGTGGGTCAGGTGGCACCGATGATGTGGTGTGGTGCGCATGCATCTCAGAGTTCTGTACACTGCTGCTCGTGTTCGCCAACCTGCTCACAGTAGAGCGCAGATTGCGCTTGCCTTGTGTACACTCCACGTCGCTTGCCGAATGTACGCGTTTTTCTATGCCTTGGGCCAAAGATCCAGTTGTCAGTTGTTGCCAAATGCTGCTGTCTGTGTTGTTACGGGATGGTATTGGAGAGTCTGGATTCAGGGGTGTCACTACATCAAGGGGAGATGATGGGTCTTGCCCATCTGCTGAGCTCCACTCATCACCACCCGCCAAGGCCGACTCCTCTTCCTCCCGCAGAGGGAACGTCCGACGCTCCCATGGTTGCACCACCTGAAATGCACGCAGAAATGAACACCGCCTACTGTCAAGACTCAAACACTCAATAACTAATCCAAGGCTCCACTGCTGCTGCATCCAAGACTCATTTTACTAAAACAACTTTATCCAATAATGTACATGTCATGCATCATTATTGGAACCTGCATCATTTTTATATATTACTAGCGAGAAGTACCCGGCATTGCCCGGGGGAAAAATGTATTTAAAAACTTCTCTTAAAAACAAAACATATACATAAATTAACCTTACGGCAGAACCCCGGGGTCCCATAAGCCCTCGGCTCTTGCATAACCTGCGTTGCGACGTCATTTTAGGTCTGTTGAAGGCGAACGATACGGCAATCTATTCCTCTGGACGAGCTCTACACAATGTGCTAATCAAATTTTCAAAGTTTTGTATCTTCTGCGCATTCGTCCTCACTGCGCTTGGACGACATGACAACATAATTATTAGTGCCAGGTTGGTCGCAGCGTTTATGTGCGCGGTGGAATGGAGTTGGCAAAAGGCAATTAATTAATTAAGATTTTTACTTCCGTTTATTCGGGACCCCGGGGTCCCACCATAAGGTTCAAATACGAAGCTATTGTGAAAGCCCGGTGTTCCGTTTGTCTGTCCATTTGTCGGTCAACAAAATTATAAGAGGCTTGCAGAAGTCCTGAATCAAAAAGTAATAGAAAGTGGCGGGTAAATATTTGATCTAAAATGTTTCTGAAAATTGTCGACCTTCCCCCCCTAAAAAATATTTTAAACCCCCCGTAGGCATATATACCTACACACCCGACATACATAGAGTGGTATCTAGTGACTCTATAGTAGTATCTGGCTCTACGGTAGTATCTACTGACTAGTATTATCTGCCAACTCTGTAGTTGTATCTACTTGACTGTACAGTCATTAGTTTAACACGTAGGCTTTCACGACCAGTATTATTCATAATAAAGGCTTTTGGGCTAGATCTCGTAAGCATAAATGTGTCGCAACCCACCACCACCCGACACGGCCAATCAGTAAAAAATGTGTCACGTTAACAAAACGCCAATTAGTTACTTCTTCAGCCCACCTGTGTTTGAAGAGTGAATCCACAACATTTAGAATTTGAGTACGACGTTTCGCTGGTAATTATATCCAGCATCTTCGGGTTAAGAAGTATAATTTGAGTATGATGTTTCGCTGGTAATTACATCTATAGTAGTATCTACCGACTTGATAGCAGTATATACTGGCTATAGTAGTGTCTGACTGTAATAGCATCTACTAACTCTATAATAGTATCTACCGACTCTATAGCAGTATATACTAACTGTACAGTAGTATCTACCTACTCTACAGTAGTATCTACCGACTCTATAATATTATATATCGACTCTATAGCAGTATCTACTACCTATACAAAGAGCCGCGGTGAGGCCTAGTCCCGTGGAGAGCCCCCAGGCCTTGCCTAGATTGCCCAGCCGGCCGAGGTGCCACCTCGGCTGGCTGGGGTTGGGCTGCTACTCCCCCCCACCATCCCTCCGCCTGCTCTACAGTAGGAGTAACTACTGACTATAGTAGTATCTAACGACTCTATAGTAGTAACTGCACACATTGGGGTAGGGGGGGGGGAGGACATCAGTGTGAAATTTTACCTCCGTCTTTTTTTTTATATTGAAAGCGAACAAAAAATATCCCCCGCCCCCACAGATCGGAGCTTATCGCGTAGTATCTGGGTACTTTTTGATACGTAAACTCCACAGTGTGTCAGTTAAAAACGTCACAAGTTATGTCCACACACCACACACAGACAAAAACATATTTTTATAGATAAGATGCATAACTTATCTTGATAAAGCCTATGCTTGGTTAGACCAATTCATGGGTGAATATTCTAAACACATTACTGCGGAGGGAGCTGGTAGGAACGTTGGGTTGCTCGGTCAATGGCCAGGGTCAACCACGGCGTGGTGTATTCCGCAAATATGGCCGACTGAGGGCGGGCACAAGCCGGCATGAGCAAGTTAAACGTTGAGTTTTATAAGGGCACCACGGGGTGACCAGCCCCTCCCCACCCAGCCCCTCCCCACCCAGCCCCTCCCCCACCCAGCCCCTCCCCACCCAGCCCCTCCCCCACCCCACCCATTTTTGGATGCACGACGGACGGACAATAATCCCCTGTGGGCTGGTGTAACCAGGTGGTTCCTACCAGTTCAAGGTTTCATGAGCAGCAATGAACACTAGTATCAATGCTGGTTAGACACATATAATTTCCTCAAAGCCAATACTATACATCGCCTTTGATAAAATTAAATTCATTCCACCAGTTTGCCCCAATGAAAGCGTTGCCAAAAATAACTCGGTTAAGGAACTATTCTTCTCTTTCACCCATTCACTATTGAATCTAGACCCATATAAAGAAAAACCTTTAATTACATACCACAAATATCTCTTCGGCATTCATGTCGGGTGTGGACGAACGAGTTGACTCGCACAGAGAGTCCCTCAGACTCCTGTCTGTCGTTCTTTGCTGGATCGGCGGCTCGGTGTATGAGAGCTGTTCACCACCCCCTCCTGACATGGACGTATCAGGAGACGGAGGCGGGGGCGTAGCACGCCCATCCGAGACACTCTTGTGAAATGACCTGCAACAAATCCACAGGATTCAATGTGCTGTGGCAATGCCATTTGCAATACATATATTTCGCTTTTGACTGTAGACATCACATTATGAACAGTGTACCTTGCAATATGAAAGCTTCAAATCAAGATTGTAATATGATTGTCAATAATACAAAGTTTATGAATTACTATTGTTCGAGACAGTGATAATTAGGAAATCAGCTTTTTGTATTTAAAAAAATGTGTCTTTTCAACTAGTAGTTGACATCTACAGGCCACCTCTGGGCTTTACATATTACTTGAGCGAGGTACCAAAATGTGTCCACAAAGCCTGAAGGGATGATTTATTCCCTTATTTTTCTCACTTCCTAGGCAGAAAGTGGTTACTGCATTCCTTCTTATCCTATGCATATTCCTTCTCATGTGATGTAGTCACAAGTCATATATGCAGCACTCTTGAGTATAAAATATAATAATTACAGCTTATATATAGAGTGCCTTTCATAAATTCTTAAGGTGCTTTTACATGGGGGAAGGGGGGGGGGTTAAGCAGTGGCCAAGTAAAAATTCCTTCTGAATGAGAAATGTTTATAGGTGGAACTTGAAGATTTCAACTGAACCAGACTCCCTGACAGCATTTGCAGTTAAATGTAGCGAGACTCAGCTTTATCAAGTCTTTAATTTAAAATCACATACAAATATTTATACAGTCCAGTGTTAACACATTTTCAGAGGGAGGCCATTTCACCGATAAGACATTAGTATGAAGACCGCCACACCGCCTGCAAGGAATGTTTTCACGTTTGTCGGGGGCCGCGCGTCAAGGGCCACACTAAAGGCTACCAGGGGCCGTCAGTGGCCTGCGTGCCTTGCAATTAAGGATGTTGGAATAGTCCCTGGCCATGTGCCCTCATGATACGGACCTGGTACGACGCTGAATTGCAGGCGACCAGACGCACCAGCGAGCCTTTTCCAACTGCTCACACTTTGCATGGCGAATGGCAAACGCCTCATCTGAAAGGTCTTCCACCTATGCCACACAGCCAGAGAACACACCCATTACCAACACAGATATGCTTTATTTTCCAGTTGTCAACTCCACTTGTTTTTTTTTATTTGTATTTTATTCATCCATATTTTCCAAGTCCCAATAAATAAAAAATAATTTGAACTTCACAGAAAACACTTTTTTTTTTACAATGCACACTGCATTGTTGCACATCTACTCCGTAACTCAACAGCAAAAAAGTTAAGTTTACAATTTTGATAGGAATGGGAATTATTTACCTCTCCTTCCTCCACATTAACTTCCTGCAGGTTAGTCACAGGCTCCAGCTCTTGCCACCTAAAGAACCAACAACAATTAAGCAACCAGCAATTTCGGGAAAAAATATTTTTGTTAGCCACTCAATTTTTCATCATAGCATATGCCTTTCCACAAATTTTTATAACAAGGAACATACATATTTAGTACATGATTGAGAATAGGTTTTCCCCTTTTCCTGGCAACAAAACAGGTGTTAAGATATTCTTAGTTCTTTCGGTAAAGTCACGCAGAAGGAAAATAATAAAATCATAAAAATATAAAACAATAAAAATTCCCACGACGTTTCGACTACAACACAAGCAACCATCATCAGGTTTTGGAAAAAATAAAATCTTGCTGTGGATTTCACACCTGATGATGATTGCTTGTGTTCCAGTCAAAACGTCGTGAGAATTTTATTGTTTAATATTATTATTTTATTATTTCCCTTCTACGTGACTTTAGCGAAAGAACCAAGAATATGAATCCCTGCAGTCACGAAAGCTTTAAATCAGGTGTTAAGATGTTAAAACACCAATCTGAAACCTTTTACAAGGAATAATGTCTGCATTAACCACAATACTTGTGGTCAGAATGCAAAAAAAAACACTGATAATATATGCATTGTCTTTGAAACGGATTGGTCCACACCAGGCAGCTTTCTTTCGAGCCTAGTCTCACACGGAAAAACTATTCTCATATTTTGGTACTGGCAAAGGAGGTCGCATAATGTCGTACATGATTGAATGTAACATTTCAAAATGCCTGTAAAGTCACGGCTACATATGTTGCAAGCTTAAAAAAAGGATTATACAAACCCTGGAGTGAGGATTTCCTTGTATTGGATTTTCTCGACCCGGGCTGGGGCGGCCATAGACAGTGGGATCACGATGTTATTTATGTCATACGAGCTCTCACCCCTGCGACGCCGTACTGCATTCTGGGTTCAGACAAAAGGGACCACAACTCTCAGCATCACGTTTTACACTGCAGATAAAGCTGAATAATTATTTTCTACCTTTAGTAATCGATGGTCATATTTAATCTCAAACATTTCCATACAGCGTTTCTAGCAAACTGTGTAAACAGTAGTTGACAATAACATTTACTACGAGTCTGAAAATGTGTCAAGGCTTATTCTTTCAGCCAGCGTGTCAATTATGTACACGTAAACTCGAGATACAATTATTTTGTGTGCTACCGTCTGCGTCATCACCTGTGCGGAAGTTGATGGAGTTGGTGTTGACGTTTGGCTTGATGTGCCGAGAGCTGTGGTGGGTGTTTCGCACGAAGTAGGCGTCTGTGTGTGCCTAATGGGGGTTCCCAGCACCCCATCAGGGCAGTCTCCCACAGTGAAGCTGCAGCTCCGCAAACTTCGCGACTTTTTGCTCGGCACTGCAGCAGACACAAAGAGGCGTTTTAACCCAAAGATAAGTCACGTGACTCTGCATAACATTAATAACCGAGTAATAGTAATTTGAATTGTTTTTCAAATTAAATGGAAATACTTAGCAGAGTGCAGTGGGCAAAAAAAAAAATCAACCTTATTTTTAACATTAACCAAGTCCAATTAATGAACAAAAATGGTTGCAACCTACTTTAAAAGTAACGTTTTATAGCCTGTCAAGTATGCTAATTATTTTAATGTTTTTAAATCATTTTTCAATAATTTTAAAATTCTTAAAAATTATGGTTTACATTACCCAAGTAAATAACGAAACTTTGAGACTAATTATCTAAGGGGTTAGGAAAATGCTTAAGCGCTTCGATATAGTGACAAATGAATAGCTGTGGCACTTCGTCTGAATTTAAAGTGGATGCAATGAGAGAAAAGATAAAATGCAGGCAGCCAATCCAATACCTTAATGGGAATTTGGCACAGAAGAAACATAATTGATCACATTTTAAAGGAAGTGGACATGGGTACTGATATAGTTAGCATGATATTTTTTTGCAAAAGATTTATAGTACAACAAACTGCAGGTGGAACCAATGGTGTTCATATAGAATTCAAAGGTGGGAAATCATTCTCAGGACTACATGTATGACAAGTGAAGGCATTCACATCAGGGTGAATGTATTCTTTTTTTGAAGTCATTAGATTACACAGCAGAGGACTGAGCAGCACCACTTTGGGATCACATTCAGGCAGCCAGCTGTGATAAAACCAGGCTTCTCAAGTAAAGTGAGAGTTGCTCAGTCACAAAAATGCTCCACAAAACACTGTAATTAAAGCAGGGATTTTCACTTCATTTGACATATTCCAGCGCTCAGAATGTATCAATCTGGAAAGTGGCCAGACAATGGCAGTGTTGAGTGATACCCCCTCATGTGTGAATTTCCTCTGGGTAATCACATTTAGATCCGCATGCCAAACAGTTATTATTGATGGTAATGGCCAAACATCTCGATAAACGACACGACTGAAAAGATCCTGAGATGCAGTGAGGCCATTCCAGGCTAAGAAAATGGAATAACTTTTCTTTATGTTAGCAGTTTTTGCAGACCAAAAACAAAGGGTGTGCCAATGGAGGTGACTTTATAAGTAGTTATACAACAAATTCCAGGACCATTTGTTTGATACAAAGTAGCGTCATCCCAAATAAGAATGTATTTGTTTCTTGACATCTGGGAAAAATTTGAAAGAATTAATTTGAGGCTGGTGATGAATATAAGCGTTTGTACAACTGTGGTTTGCAATGTCAAAATATAAACGCTTGCATGATACCGAGAACGGTGCCAGAACGCCGGCGCTTCCTGTTGGGGCTGCAGCTATCTCCTCCCTCAGTGTCCGAGGGTTCCAGCAGGGAAGGGTCCAGGTCTGCCCGCACCAGGTACTGTCGCATAGACTTTTCCAAGAACAAACTGCTCCACTCGAACCCTGTTGAGAATGAAAAAAACACAGCAGTCAGCTCTCTTAAGATATCTTAGACAAACAAGTGCACAACTCATCAACTATTCTCATTCACTTCTCACTGTGCTGTTGTCTGCAGGCTTTCTGCTCGGCTGTTGTGTTTTACTTTAGGTACTTTGTTGTGCAGAAAGCAAACTTAACCACAGCCAAGTCCATACCAAAGTAAAGTTAGAACACCACCTTCAACAATAGGGGTATTCATTATGTTATTGTCCAAATCAAACCAAGTAAACTACTCGAAGCACACGTGGGGGGCACATACACTATGTTTTAGTGCCCATCGTGTAAGTGAAACAAATTAAAAACCCTGATTTGCATCCGAGTGCCTTAACACAACATATGCATGTTGAACGTCTTTCGCACTGTACAAAGCCAACCGTGCTAATCGGAGGTGCGGGGGGAAGGACAACTAAACACAAAAAACAATATAAAACAAAAAAGTTAGATAACAATTATTACATGAGTTAACTCTGGAAAGAAAACAAAAATATCATGGTATAAATTGAGATGTGTAATTCATTTCATTACTAGAATTTGACATGTAATACTTCCACCTAATTTTTCAGAAACCTTCCAACACTTTTATCACCAGTGGCACTCACGCTCAGATGGCAGCTGTCCTGTGTCAAGCTTCTGACGCAATTTACGCTCCAAGAAGTCCCCCAGAAGCTCCCCACTTGTTAGGCGTGCAGAATTTCCTCAGGGTATTCGCCTTAGCCTTTGGTACCAGCCTTGCTTGCCACTCCGGTTGCTTAAGCAAGCCACCAAACCGCTCTTGCAAGGGAATTTCTGTGCATAACACCACAGCAGGCATTTCAAAAAAGGATAATTATTTTATTGGCAATGTTTTCAAAACTGATTAAATTAAAACTGGAGCGAGAAAATCGTACAAAAACAGGGGGCATTAATGAAAGTAAAAATACCAAGTAAATACATCGCACTACGTGTAATATATTTTCAAACGATATTATAATAAAAAAAATATTGGAGATAACAGCAATAAAAGTTAATGACATATCCCCCCCCCCCCCCACTGGTGAAAGGACTAAGTTAACTTCACTTGTCCCCCAAAAAAATATTTAGAAACACGTAGCCTAAAACATCAATGAGATGTCCCCCCAGTATACTATTCTTTTGAGAGAACTTGAAAATTTTCCAGCTGTTGCCCAGGCAGCACAGTCAACAAAGTGAAATGTGGCACACCGTGTGGGAAAGACAGCACGGGGTGGAAGGAGGCGCGCAGCAGTGCCACCCTCTCCGGCACCGTCATGGTGTCCTGGTCCAAGGGCTGGTGCGTGACCACCTTAGAGGCGCAAACGATGCACGCCAGTGGTGGCTCACAGCCACACGGTGTGGTCAAAGGGCGCTGGGCCTGAGGTGGGAATATGGCCAGAGCAGTATTTAAATTTACTTCCAACTCACAGTGCTCACCACAATAACTTTAGGTTTTCATAAGTTATAAATTAAAACCCCATCTTTTCTCCCTTGCACATCCGACTCCAACTCCCTGCCCCCACCCCCCCAGCTAATATCACGCCTATCCCCCCCCCAACCCCTCAACACTTCCACTTGTCCTCTGGTCAACTTAACTACATCACCACTTTTAATAACCACTCTTTATTTTAACCACTATCACCTGCTGTACAATTTTATAATCTTTGTAAAATGCCTTCGATTACGACAATATAAATCTATATAAGTTGACGTAATGTATTTTTTTACATTCCATAAATCCTGTACACAAGATGTGAAAAATTATTGTACTCGTTTCACAGCTCACACAAATTAATTTCAGATATTATTCTACACGCCGCTGTCATCGCAAAACCATCATTGTTGGATAAGTGCAGTACGCAAAAATGGATTAAGAGGCCGTCCAAAACCATATTTACATTTTGAAAATAAAACATGCTTCAAATCGCTTTAAACAATTGTCATTGTAGTGCGTATTTAAAGTGGCGCTGCACTCTGATGTTGTAGGAGAAAACATTTATTAAAAAATCTATTTAATTAAGTAGAACGTCTTGTCTATATTTAATTAAAGTTGCGCATTTTTATGTGACGTCACATTTCTCAATCCCCCCCCCCATCGGCACAAATGTCTGACCCCCCCCCCCCATAGGTGCGGTATGTCATTTATGGACGGCCCCTAACGTATTTTTGGTCGTGAAATTTTCAAACAATAACTATATACTTAGGAGTTATGCTTGCGAAAATATTAGATTGGATAACAGTGGATACGGGGTACGTTTTTTCTCTTTCTAATATTTTGTCACATCTGTTGTACAAATGCTAAGTGCAGATATCAAGGACATGTATAAAATACAGCATAATACTTTATATAATGGGGAAATCTTCCCACTATATGTGCATGTTAATGGCAACGCACTACCTTGCGGCTGAGGAAATAGGCATTGCCGACTCGGAGCGTGCGTCGCTTGCGGAAGTCCCGAAGGGGTCGCGTGCGCGCAGCCACACAGGTGTTGTCAGGTGGTGACAGGGGTGGAGACTGCACGATGGCCGCACATCCATCAGACTCGTCCACATCTGAGCCTTCTGTGGAACTATCGGCACACCCTCCATTCTCCGGCCTGGGCAAGCAAGGGCATGTAATGTTCTATAAACAATCCCATACCAATCTTGATTTGAAGCTTTCGTGACTGCAGGAATCCATACTCTTTGGTTATTTCGGTAAAGTCACGTAGGTAGAAAAAATAATACATCACGACGTTGATCGCCACACAAGCAATCGTCTTCCGGTGGGAAAGATCAATTATTTTTTCTACCTACGTGACTTTACCGAAAGAACCAAAGAGTAGGAATCCCATACCAGCCATGCCAAAATTAAGCAAGGCTAAAAGAAACATTTCCAAACATTGCCACTTTGTAATCCATGCCAGTAACAGTGAAAATAGGGTTTTACAATGCAACTGAATGCCCTTATATAATTGCCAAATGAATGAGAGACGAGGACTTTTATTTCCACCAAAGCACTAGTTTAACTTGGTTGACCATGGTCGGCAGATCCGTGAGACCTAACTTGGATCTGTAACAGTAATAAAGTTCTGATGAAAGAGTACATTATATTTAATTTCATAAGTTTGAACACTCACAGGGGACCATCAAACAGCCTAAATGTAAGCAACAGCTTTCCAACCACACCTCACATGCCTATTGATAAATGTGGCAGAGAAATCAAAATGTTGTTTTACTTGTTACGATTTTAATTATAGCTTGAAGAGTGTGGATTTGTAAAGTTATACAAGCCAGTAATTCATTATTGGATGACAAATTCGGATAACAACGGTATGTCAATTCCCTGCATGAATGCATTCAAATTATGTCCTTGGAAAAACGTGTGGTTGGCCTACCCAGGCACGGTGCCATTGAGCTGGGGCATGGAAGGATTGGAGTGGGCGGGAGAGCCAGGGGAGATGGAGCTGAGAGGCGAGATCAGGCCACCCAGCGTCTGCGTCAGCTGCGAGCTCTGTGGACACATTGTTTTCCATCATTACGAAGCTGTGGAAAACTTGAGAGAACCACAATACTCAATGATTGATCAAGAAGCCAATAAACATTGACGTTTGGATTCCACACTTCATTGCAATGACTTGCAATTTCATTTTTGGAGAAACATGATCATTTTGTATTTGGGAAAAAACATGTCTGCCTTAAGAATATATTAGGGGTGACAAAAGTGACACTATGAGCCACATACTAAAACCTCCATCTGGCCAAGAGCCACAAGACACAAATGACCACGTGGGTGTTCACGCGGTCGAATCGCTCGCGCTGGTTAACTGTTGGGTATTGAATTTTTGAATCTGCGGGAGCACTCTGGAAATACCCATCTCTGGCTCCGCTACCAGAGGCAAGTGCCAGGTAGCTCCCGCTTCCAAAGTAAAAAAATGACATCTCTATCAAGACGCACTTTAACCACCAATGAGCTGCATGTGGCCCACGAGCCACAGCTGACAATTAGCTGACCACCGAAAAGGGAAATATGTTTACATAACAAGCAACATATTGTTAAAGCAAATTAAACTTCCATCATTTAAAATCAAAGATGTATACACCATGAATGAAACAAATATATTCAGATTGCATAATGGTGTGCGCACTTTAAAAAATAACCAAGCTCGTACCATAAGGTATCAACACATGAAGTTATTAAATATTGTACTTGTGCTGAAGTAAACGTTTGATGTAAAATAAAGTCCACGGAAGTAAAAACAAATAACTTGCCATACACCTCATCTGTGTTCATCTAAATAATTCAGTGAATATGCATGCGCAATTCGCCCATGGAAGATGCACTTACTAACCTGTTTGTGAATGTTGCTGAGCAGCACCGCAGGGCTGCAGGGAGACATCTCGGCCCTAGTGGATTTTCGAACGCCGAGTGGACCTTTGAGCAGGGAGCCTGCTGCACCCAACCGCTGCATCAGGTCCACTGGTGCCTGAGGCTCCCCCAAGATCACAGCACCCTGTATATAAAACAATGGTGCCCTTTCTCAGTTACATATATGTGTGAACAACTATGGGAACGCTAAGCTTATGATCCTTTGAAATGGTTCGGAATCAAATCCCGGCAAGCAGGATTTCACATTTAGCCGGACCAGTGCCAGGCGAATAATAAAATAATTCTGCACAGCCTCCTGCAACACCTCGAGTGGCAGTGCAGAGCCATGCGCAGTCGGTGGCACAGGATTTGTTGCTGCATGTACTGCAGTTTCCCTACACTGTAGCACTATTTGTAGCTATTTTCCTCCATGTTTGTTTCTTCCTTCCTGTTCCTCCATGGCATCAACATAATTCGATGGTGAGTACATAACTACTAAGTAGAGTACAATGCACACACTAAATATAAGTTGTTTTTTATTTATGTATTATATTTCAATGTTTAGAGTACAGTAAATGTATTAAAACTCATTTTCATTCATGTTATGTGTTTGTAATGCTCATTAGGGTTCTCAGGATAATTAGCGATACGTTACATTCATTTTAATTAATTTTTCTGCTTAGCTGGACTTATCAATTCACAGGACCAGAGCTCCCTCCCAATGAGTGTTGCTAGCTGGGGTTTTACTGTAGTCTGTAAGAAGTAAAATATTATATTGCTGTACCGATTACAGTCTCAGTGGACGAGGCTGTAATCAGTACGGCAATGCACAGTATTCAAAATTACTATTCAGGCATTTCATTAAGAAATCTAAATCTCTACCCAAGGATACAAGTTGGTCTATTTTATCTATGGCTGCGTTTCTGTTTGACAACATTTGTATGTCTGGCTTCTGTTACAAAGTGATGCTATGCATGCGTACTGTGAATGTACTTGACAGTGAATGCAATAATGCCCAAGGGGCAGACAAACAGAAGGTGCATGCTGTTAGAATGATTACATTAAGGGCACCGTTACAAACAGTTTTTGCTATAAAATAAATATTATTGACCTTAAAAGCATTAGAAATACATTATTTTTCACTATTAAAATGGAAATACCACTTTTAAGTAAGAGGCCATGACTAACAGACCGTTTGCAGAAACTTTACTGGAGCTATACAGCACGTGTGTATGCAATATCAAGTAATATAATTCAAGGCATTAGATTAACTTGCAGCCCTTTGCCAATATTCATTTAAATATTTTAAAAAACACGTGCCTTCATGCTCATATGAGCAATGGAATATTCATACACAGCTTTCACCCAGTGATGGCAATCAACATTCCCATTGTTGGGGCCCATTCTCTCCGTAGAATACTATTGTTGACAATCTCCCAAAGTGCTACCTAATTTTACTGACTGGAGAACTGAAGGGCCGAGTTGACTCTGAACCAGGATTTTAATGCACATCTTTTCAATTAAAGTTGAAAACTCTAATGGTAAACTAGATATACAGTAAGTACTCCATTTAGGTTGCTCCTATTTACGTTGTTTCACAACGTTGCCAACGCAATTTCGATTTCAAATGCACGATTAATTGTAACGTTATATTGAAAAATTCAAAGAAAATAACGTGGTAGAAGTTTGAGCTGCGTACGTAACAACGCACTACGCCATGGGCGCCCCCCCCCACCCCAAGCCAGAGCTCAAGCCTCAGCAGTGTTCACGACATCACCATACCGTAACTCAACTCCCCCTTTACCCTACACCAGGCCTCCAACTAAATGCAATCTCCGCCACCATCTCTGGTGAATACTCCGTGTTAACTTAAATAACGTGTTTAAAATTGTTATACAACGTATTTTTGGGTACATTTCATGATTTTAGGGTACTAATACAAATATGTTCTGCTACTTTTGACCTTAAAATTACTCCCAGGAATGCATCCTTAATTAATTGCATTATATTAATGGTAAAATAGGTTTTGCCTTACATTGTTTTGCCGAATGTCACGTTTTCCAGGGACACATCCCCTACGTAAATAGAGGACTTGCCATATTTGAAACTGTATGATTACAAGAAATCCAAGCGAGCTGCTTGGTTAACTATTTCACCCATTAAAACTAAAATGCCCATGTTATTCCAAAACATACATTTTAAACAATTTAACGAGAACATTTCATTTCAATTAGCAGGCTGTTTTTGCATTCACAACCTCTCCACCACTTACTCAATTTCTTGTAATAGTGTCAAAAAATATATATTCTTGATTTAGGTAAAGCAACCTCAATGTTACGTAGATTTTTTAAGCTTTTTGGGCATTCATCTCAAGTACAGTTTTTACCATTAGTACAGATACAAATTACAATGAAATTTCAGGAATCCTTTACAGTTATTGAAACTGCCAAAACAAATAAACATGTACAATTACATATGCCAACAAATGAATCCCCCCTTGGGATAGAGCACGTTGCAGTCAAATTACTTCAAAATTAAATTGAGCAAATTTATCAGATTTAAATCATGAAATATCAGTAAAATACGTGAACAAATACACATTTAGAACAAGCATACAAAAAAGGACAATATTTATCAAGCTGCTCCCTCCATGCTAACCTTGGCCTGACAGATATATCCCAATGTAATTATAGCAGCAGCAAATCACCGAAGGACTGCAGGCAATGTCAACCAATATTTTTAAAACAACCATCAACATCACCAGTCCCTTGCACACTGTAAGTGTTCATGCCCACATGGCTATGGAACATGCACACACACAAACTACCATGGCCTGTGAGAGACAGGGCACGCGTATACGTGCCTTGTTGGTGCGGATCTGGCGGTACAGCTCATTGTGCTGGCGGATGCGATACTCCAGGTCGGACACCTGCGCAGTGAGCCACGTCCAGCGGCTCGCCACCATAGCCCGCTCCTCTGCCCAGCGCCACCCAGCACTCGTTTGTCTGTGGACCCACATGAGCAGGGCACATCATCCACTTTAATAAAGCCTGCTACATATGCGTAATATTAAGGGTCCGGGGAGAGGGCCTAAGCAAACATACTATGATGGGTTTTTCAAGTTGTGTTTCTTCAACAGATATGAATGTTAGGGAATAATTGTTTTGCTCTTGCAATTGCGTAATCAGTTAAAGACAGGTTTGTGTGAACTTTCTAAACAGACGTTTTACCACCTCACCCCAACCCACTTTACTCTTCACATACAGTAGATGAAAGTCAAACAACAATTTGTTCAAATATATTAAGTCAAATGGAAACTCAGTGGTTAAAAATCAATAATTTTATTTTTAGCTTCTGCTGTATATCTTTCTTAAAAAAGTTTTGGCCTCTTCCTTTGTACATTTCTATAAATATTGCATAATCTAATATAAAAGTTGTACCTTCCATATTATACTCAACCACTCTTTACATCACATCAATATACCAATGGTTTCCATGAAAACCAACTAAAAGCGACACATTTATAATCCAACCCAGACCTCCTTAGCCACACTCGTATCAAAATGTTGCAACATCTTGCATGAAACTGACATGTGAAACCACAAGTGGAATATAATGGCAGATGAGAGCACTGCTGATTCGTCAGGACATCTAACAAAGCTTCACTCAACAACAATGGAAAGTGAATGACTTAACGCTCGCATATATTTCCTTGCGAAAATTTTTTGATTCCCAATTTTGCAAACCACAAGTCAAGATATATAATGCATATACGGTTATCGCTGGGCCTTGAATAGCTGAGTTTACAAACAAAGCAATGGAGGTTTTTTTGGGACGTTTTAACCATGAGTTTGTCATTTCCCGAGTGTTGATTAGTCAAGTGTTTATTCACCTTACCCAAAAAAACCACAAAGGCCTACTTATTTCTTCTGGAGTATAATTTTCTTGGACATGATCTTTTTGCTGATATTTGGTGGTACAGTATAATAAAACCTTTTAATTACAAGAACATATTTTCAGTGTTTTCGTGTAACTTTATATTAGGTAGCTTATTAGATGCGTATGCAGATTATCCTTTTAAATAAACCTTGCATTACGGGATTGTGAATTACTATTTCGAACTGGATGAACAATATACGGCGAGTTTGTAACCTCGCCTGCACATGTATTACGTATGTGCTCTGTTGCATACCACATCGAATTTGAGCAAGCCATTAAGGCTGCTTGAAATAAAATGGGATTTATTTACTTCCCAATTTTGTCATTGTGAGTATCACCATCATGTCACAAGACAAATTTGCAATTTTCACTCTGCAGCGAGCAGTCAAACACTTTTGCAGACTAGCCCCCAGAATAAGATATCAGAACTACTTCTGAATTGGACCTCTTTATCCACTAAGATTTGCATTTAACTGCCCGTATAGGACCCACCACTGCGATCTCTACATTGGGTCAAACTTAACATCTCTTAATGATCGACGGCTTGTGCATCAGGTCTTATTTATTCATGATGTACTTACAAAAAAATCAACAGACTATCTGCTGGATCTCCTCACTGTTTCAAAGAACAAATGTGACCAGCTTCACATTCCTTATTGCCGTATAAATACTGGAGGAAGGGCCTTTGCTATTGATGTCCCCAGAGTCTGGAATGCTATCGCCAATAAACTGCAACTTGGATCACTACCTATGAGATCTTCACTCAAAACTGCTCTAGACGAGTAGTACACCTCTAGCTGCCACTGCTATTCAATGGCCTGAAATCAAATGTATCGCTCCGGATGACCGCTGCACAGTATGATATTGAGTTTTGATTATAGTGTGCTGATCTTTAAAGGTACATTGAAAATTTTTGATACTCCTACGGATACTCCTGCTGTTATGGAGTGACTCATGCTGCCAGCTATGGCAGCAAAGTTTGGTCATACATGTTATGTATATCGTTTATTGTTAAATTTTAATCACAGTTCCTATGATCAGTTACATTTTTTATAGCTTTATTTTGGTGATTTCGAAAACGTTTTGGTTTAGCCATATTTGTTTGTTGTAGTCCAGAGTTAGACTGATAATACTCTTTGGTTCTTTCAGTAAAGTCGCGTAGGTATAAAATAAATCACGACATTTCGATCGCAACACAAGCGGTCGACCTCAGGCGGAAAAAAATAGAAACCAGCAGTGGAACTAATGAACTTCATCAAAAGAAACAAAGAGGATGGATTCCTGCAGTCACGAAAGCTTCAAATCAATATTAGACTGACAACTTTAATCTAAATAGTCTTATGGTTGTTATTGTTTGACTTGCATCCCCACTGGGATTTTTGCACACAGCATTAATATACGGTGCTTTTTCTGGAAGACTTTGTTGTTTTTTTCCGAATTTTTCTGTTGCGCGTAGTCACTTTAAGATGTTTCTTGTTCATGTTTTTGTTTGTTGCGGTTGCACCCGATTCAAAAGCCGCATGGCTCACAGGGCTATACCTAATAAATGAAATGAACACATTATGGGTAAACTTTAATTGCCTGCAGAATATTTGTCGCAAGACAAAACTAAACGTTTCGATATTAGGAATGGAATAAGCCAATTTAAGTGAAAAAAACTAAATTTACATGAGTTTTGTGCAGTCATTGACCAGGCTAAGACCATCATTTTTTTACACTTGAGAACCGGGTTGAACCAGAGGTAGCTGCCCATATTTTTATCCAGGAACACAGCGGTGCTTGTGCAGTGCTCGTACTCGAGCCATCCAAGCCACCCTTACACGAGCAAATGTTTTGTCCGCCTGTCCGTTGGCACATCACCCGTTTTCACCATAACTGCAAAATCATAAACAAATTGTAATTATTATGCTTACTTACCCAAAAGGGCCTGCCAAGTTTTCAACAGAAGGGGTGATGTTGCTATATTTAATCACAACTCAATTTTAGTTAGTTTTCCTGTTTCGGGATGTTTGATCAATAACAGTTTACCCACCTATGAGATGAACAAAGAACCTCGAGGAAAATATGCAAAACAGGGGGAGAACTCGTCACACAAAAAAGCCCAAATCAGAAAATGAACCCAGGCTCTCAATTGCAGTGGTAACACTTGTGCCACCTTGCCACCCCAAATATAGCTTACATAGCTTAACAATACAAATGCCAAGAGCTGCATGGTTTGTGTCTGGCAAGATTGTTAGACAAATTACTAGTTTTTATTTGATGGCGAGTATGTAAATAATGATACACCTACGCCACTGCATTCTGGTACACTGTACCTTCAACAATACACAATAAAGTAATTTATCAAAGAAAACCCCACTCAACCTTGAGACTTTTAGAAGCGCAGTTGGTGCATTGAGATGTTTGTCCGATGGTTTTCAAAATAACAAGTGTTGTGGGTAGGAGTATCCAGAAAACAAAGTGAACACTCAAAGGTTCAAAGGGGTTCATGTACCCACTTGCATGTGGAAATATGCAATCACCTGTGGGTTTCACAAATCTTTATTTGAGCCACCAACCCTCACTCCCAAAGTGCTTGACCACCACGATGTACTCTATATGCATGGGTGATTGTACTGTATGTGTTATAGATCTGCATGTATTACAGTAAATGAGGTGGAGCAATGTTAGTGCGGTACACTAGCAACATAAGTTCGATTCCTGGCCATATAGCTAACAACAGTGCCGAGAGGTCCCTCCACTTCAAATACCTGAACTGATCAAAATATAAAGTACGCAAGTACAGTTAAACAACCCCCATGACAGACACAGTATCCATAAGTGTTTTTACCAATTATATTCTCTATTTGTGTATATATACAATCAAATTGTAATAACAATCTTGAGAATCTTTAAATTCTCTGTAAACCAAGTATCCGTTTGTCTAAAGATCTTCAGCTTTGGAATCATATTAACAAAAGTCTCCCTTAAAGGACTGCCTTGCTGGCTTCTTTATGCACGATAGAAACGATTAACAATTCCATGAAAATATGGCAGAAAACATGTGAAAATTTAAGATTATATAAAATTGCCAGAGTACCAGTCAGAATAAGGGATATTTTGGTCCAAGCTGAAAAGAAAATATTTCTACTTGCAATATCATTCACCTTAAACCAAAGTAATTAAGCAAATAAAAATGCATGAATTTCAAAAGACAAACCAAAAACCTTAAGATGAGAGGAATTTTAAACTGGGTATTAAAACAATATATTATCATAGCAAATCAGTACAATCTAATGTCCAAATCAATAGCTGCCGAATCATAAGAAAATATTTTTACCACTAAATGAATACGAAATCTCCAGTTATAAATATCTGCATGTTTATTATGTAACCAATTAGCCACTTAGAGACACCTAAATGTACACAGAAATTTAATTAGAAATTTCGATTTAAAGCTTTCGTGACTGCAGCGATTCATCTTCTTGGTTCTTTCGGTAAAGTCACGTAGAAGGGAAGTAATAAAATAATTTTATTTTATTATGTTTTATTTTTATTATTTTATTACTTCCCTTCTACGTGACTTTACCGAAAGAACCAAGATTAATTAGAAATGTTTGCTTTATTTAATTTCACAAATGCATCTCCACAAACCTCATATTTAAACGAGAGAATTATGGAATTTGAATGTTGTAGGGTAGGTTAGGTGTATATTAATTATCTGTGGCCTAAGATAATCGACAAAAAAATAAACAGGTGGAAATTTATGGACAGCCAAGTGCCCTCTATCAACGAAAAGGCAAATTAAGTCATAATTTGGCCATGCTACTTCCTTTTGCTTTGTTATTTTTCACATGTCAAATATTAGTTAATTCCTTTATACATATTTTTTGAAGATTTTGAAATTAACATTTTTAATGTAACCTGATATACTCTTAGGTTTTTTCGGTAAAGTCACGTAGGAAAAAAAGTAATAAAAATAAGAGAAATAATAATAGAAATATTTATTATTTTATTTCTATTGTTATTTCTATTATTATAATAGAAATATTTATTACTTTATTTCTTTTGTTATTTCTTTTTTTACCGACGTGATTTTACCGAAAAAACCTAAGAGTATGAATCCTTGCAGTCACGAAAGCTTCAAATCTAGAATGTAACCTGACAGTAGAAATAAGTGACCGACATGCTTACTAAAAAAATAAAGCAATGTATACACGTCTATTTTTTAATACATATTTACCCTTCATTTTCCATATATTGTAAAATCATTTAATCTCACAGAGTTCTTTGCCAAATAGCTACTTTCCTTGCTCTATAGAAAAAAAAACACACCAACAATGTAATAAATAAAAAGTGGGCCAGGCATGATAGATATGTTGGTTCCAAAAGGACCGAGGCAAGCAAAGGCAACTGGGTCTCGTGTGAATCACATTATAAAGACCAGTACCATTTGAGAATAGTGCAACAGTAGTAGTACAAATGTATTTGATCACAGGGTTTTAAAAACATGTTAAAATGTTTAGATAAGACCTAAACATATCAGGGAAATCGCGTAAGCCAATACTCGTCCTAACTCTGATTCCACACAGGATTTACGCAAAATAAACCACATGAATTCAAAGAGAACCTAAGGATATTCCCGGTCGAGACCGCCCTTAAGTCCACCATTACTCATGTCTATACACACAAACAAGCACACGATATCATACAAAACACATGCACACAGCAGCTCTCACAAACACACCAAACTCGGGTGTGCACAATCAATTAGAAAAATATTTTTACTATTAAAATATTATTATACAGCCCCCTGAACTATATAGCTCTTTTCAGAAGCGACCTGGCCACAAATGATAGCTCAACGATGTAGCATAGTATCAGGTAGAAATTTATATAAGCAAAATATTCTGAACGCATATTTCTAAATGTGGAGGGGAAACCCGGAAGACTCGTATAAAAATCCACGCAACCACGGGAAGAACATGCAAAGCTCCAAATATACAGGCGTCAGGGTCGGGGTCAAACCCACGACCTACTGCATAGCAGGCAAGGTAGTTAAACATCTCGCCACAGTGGCGCCCCCGGGTCCGCATACACTGTACTCTCCCACACAAACTCGCACACAAAGACACGCAAAAACAGCCACTCTCAAACAACCACACATTCCCACACAAGGAAACTAGAATTACACACTCACAAAATGAATGCGCACCAAAGGACTCGCATTTCTTTAAAACGATTAATATATACTTACCTCACAGCCACAGACAGGCACGGATGTTGCATGGGGGTTGTCTTCCTGGCAACATATTGGCTAGTGCAGTGGGAATGAGGAGGTAATCCCGAGTTACTGCTGCGCACCGGCTTTGCGATCTTGCTAGGAGTGCAACATACTTTGCCGTTTTTACCTATGCAACTCTGGATCCTACACCAATCGACGCACTTTGGACAAAGGCCTTTTAAAATATATTTCTCAATTCTCTTCATGTTATACCCTCATTATGCTGTTATAGCTTTCAAAATTAACATCACTGTTCAGCTCAATCCCAAAAATTAATGCCAAGCCTAAAAGGTGAATTATTTACCAGCCAATTTAACTTCATGGCCATGTAAATAAGAGTGCAGAGTGCACGTACCTTTCTTTTTTTTAAACATGCTTAAAAATGTAATGTATGTTGAACTTCTTTCGCACAGTACAAACGTGCTAATTGGAGGTGGCTGTTGCATTATAACTGAACATTAAGGAAAAAAATTCCGTTGTGACAATGGCTAAGTATTCCTTTTCTATATGGTTGACAGTGTTAATCAGAACATATTTACAAATAAGCCCACTTTCTGTTCATACGTTTCTAAAAGTTGTGTCAAAACTGTTTGCATAAAAATGCAGTGAAACGTATCTTGAAACCAGTTTTCCACTATAAAAACCACTCCCGGAAATAACCAACTGACCAACCACAATGCACCAGTGTTGGTCGCTGAATGCTTCAGTGTCCATTAAGGCGCCCCACAGGATGGTGCCATCGTATGGACTTGTGGCATAGGTTTGGTTGTGAATAACCTCAATTATCCACACAATGGATTTAACCAAGTTATGAGATTCATGGAGGCTTTCCTGGGCAAACAAGCGAAATTATAATTGCTAGTAAAAATATTAACTATAAATCGGGCAATCCGAGTTGTATTCACAAACATGGTGAACATAAGTGATCAGCGGTATGAGACTAGTCCATTACCAACCCGTACTGACCAGCATAAAGCATTGTCAAAACTGCCACAACTTAGATAACATTGGAAGCACGTCTTTCCTGCAGGGGCTTGATAAATCTCTCTACATTAATTTTATATATAAAAATTATCCACTGTAAAAATTAATAACAATGTTAAGTTATAACTAAATGTTTAATGTTATGTTATTATTTTTATATCTACGTGGCTTTACCGAAAGATCCAAAGAATATAAATGTTCAAGATTTATAGAACCTATTATACATTGACAGTGAATATTGTGCAACTTTTTTGTTGGGAAAACAACCTGCCTTTATTCATTCCCATGTATTTTTCTTCTCGCCCGATACATGTCATAGTAATTGCCAAGTATTATTGGTCTCTACAACAAGTCATGTGACTTAAGCGAGGTCCACCCAGGTTAAAAACATCCTACTTATTCTATGCTGATGTGAAAACGCAGTTTGTCCATAAAGGCAATAAGGCTTTGCTATTAAAGCAATGTGGCCAAACGCAATTTACTCGAATACATTATTGTTGTAAAAGGTTAAGATACATCGACAATTTAAATAAATAAAAAATTACGATAGCAAAAATGGAATTCAAAACAAAGAGCATGGAAAATGTACATGCTGCCTAAACGTTATTCTTGAGAAAACATTCGATTAATGATTAGAAACGAATCTTTGTGTTGCTAATTAGGGAAAGGCATGTTGCTCATATAAACTAAGCACTTGGCTACAATGCCTATTGTAAACAGTGGCTGCAATTGTTCAAATTTTCAGCTGGTTATTAATGCAAATTAACTACAAATTTGACCTTGCACAATGGAATTCCCCTTGTCCAAAAGATTCAGATACATATTGTATTAGTCGGAATGTTAAGGAGTTTTACATTTTTGTTCAATGAGTAATATATGTATCATTTTTACACGATATACTTTCAAGACGTGTTACATTTTGTGACTTAGGCAAACAGCAAGTAATCTGCCAAAATAATATCACATTGGCAAAAATGTATGGAACTGGATACATGGGAAGGGTGTCAGGTTAATGTAGATTTGCTTGGTTAATGATTTTTTCTCATTGTAATAAAATCCTAATCCGTTGTTAAAAATGTACATTTTGTTAATAAACTGAAAAACACAACTTTTCTAACCACAGGAAAAAATCTAAATGAAGCGAATGATTTTACCCAACCTATTGTGATCTTAAGTACAAAACAGTTACATGTATACTTAAATAATTATTATGTGTACCCATTATAATATACACATACAAATTTACAACTTTATATTTCAATATCCTTAATTTGTTGAAAACAAACTTTTAAAAAATCTGTCGACAACAAATACCATCTCTTGTTGACTTGTTGTAGAAGCATGCCACTTCAGGACAAAAACAGAATTGTGGCTGAATTTCAATAAAAATGGCCTCAAAAGCAAAAGTAGGTTAATTGAACGAATCAAGGTAATCAGCATTAAAAAACGGTAAATATTCTCAAAACTATGGATTCGTTGAGCTGGATTCAATTTCATTTCATCTAATTTATAGTTCCATTTTTATAAAGACTGCAATTTTTCCACAATCTGCTTTATGGGTTATATAAAATAAAAAAACAAATTACTTTATACAATATGTAACATTGAATTTGGCAAACCAAACCAAATTCAATGTTACGAAATGATGAAACACCCTCTTGTTTTACCATGTTTTGTAATCTTCATTAACTCATTCACGACCTATTGATGATGCCACAATGTCATGTAAATTGAACAACAGCATTTGAATACAGCTGAAAAGGCCGCTGCGAAAATCTGCAAAGACTAAGCAACAGTGAAATTGATATGTTTGTGGCTGTTAACCAGATAAATGTTTAACGTGTGCAACGGTCCAGGCAAATGCATTCCAAAGACTGGAGTTAAGAGGTACTCATGTTGTAATAAGGCCTTCTCAGCTGCAAGGTGACTTAGACTCAAATATCTGCACTGTCACTTAACTAGGCATATGTAACACGAACGTTTATGTAACATGCAAATGTAAAATATAAGCATTATGTAAATGAAAGGAGCTGTACATTTTTCTCAAAGACTTGATTTCTGAACTCGCACGTACAGAGTCGCGGACGATGTGACAAAAGGGCACAAATGGAACTGATGAATATGCTTACAAAAGCAACACATTCAGTTAGACAGTAATGGCAAATGCAGTGGTGCACCCACAGCTGCAAAGTCAACGTAATGCTGACATCAGCGTCAAGGAGGCGAGACTGTTCATAAAGACAGCAAACCCCCCCCAGACCCACACATCTACTAACACCGTACCCATGCTGAGTAACAAAGGATGGGCCTGCACAAGTAAAAACCCCAACGAGAGTGCAAGAGAAACACAACTGGAATTACATGTGTATTCATGTCCCATACACTTGTGATTTTTCAAGTCATAGTGGTTCAAAGATACAAAGCCCACCACTACCTGAAAGTAAGAAAATAGCTATAAGCATCTGTAGCACACAAGGTTGATCAATCGGATTGGCACCACCAAGTAATCGTCGGTGAAAGGTTACATGATCGTTCCCAAAAAATCCAACAAGACTTGACCAAGAGTGGACTCACATTGACGTGCGGCGGCGTCTGACATGAAGGCGAGGCATCCTCTCCTCCTCGACGTCCGTCTCTCCACCAGAGCTGCTCTCTGTGGCATCCGAGTCCAAGGCCCTCTCAACGTGGCGCAGATTGGCATCTAAGCTTTGAGAAACCCGCTCCAGTTCTTCCCTGGGAAGCTGCTCAAACACCAAATTCCTTCCCCTCTCCAAGGGACTCGAGTGCAATCTTTGACTTCTTAGACAAAGGGGGCTGCTTGTGACATCCAATCTTTTGCAAGCAGCCGATGACACTGAAACTCCATTCTGCAAACACGCCTGACTTTGCCCACGATTGAAGCTATCTTGTGAACGCCTCATTGCGAGGCTTTCCACCAAACCTCCAAGTTGCTGCCTGACATGACTCTCGGTCTGCTCAGCCTGAATCAGGCGCAGATGTTTCGACAGCCTGCGTGCCCGCTGCTCAAGCACGGCCAGTTTGTGCACGGAGCTCAGCACTCTGGAAGCCATCGGGCACTCGCCTGGGTTCGGGTTAGGTAGGTCTATTTTGGTATCGGCTCCAGACACGTTCACAAACGCCAATGGGTCTGGACGGCAGGCAAAGTGTTCATTGGAGGTACTGGAATTTTCTGCAAGCAAGGCCGCTCTTGAATCTGCCACATTGGAAATTGCGCCATTGTTATATTTTTTCTGTTCAAACCTAGATTTCCCATTTAGCACGGGCACATCTGAGTCACGCAAGATGGGAAGTTTACTGGTAATGCTATTGTTATGAGTTGAAGATAGTTTCTGCAGTTCATGAACGTCCAGAGCTGTGCTGGATATGGGGTCCAAACAGCCCGAGTTGCATACATTTTTCAATGCTGACTGATCCCCATTTCCTGTTTTCTTCCCATTCAGGGGTCTGGTACTAAGATCACTGTTGGCCTTCCTTATGGTCTGCGGTTGTTTTGCAACGCCATTCTTCTGCTTGCCCACCGAATTCTGTTCGAAAGTTTTCATTATCTTTTGGCCCAGATGTAAAGACGCCTGTCCGAGTTTGCCAAACACCCTGCCCTTCACAATTAAATGTTTGGAATTCGCCGACACCTGGTACAAGGGCAACAGCTCCCCTGGCTCCGTGTCTGTGAACTCTCCACTGCCGGGCGCCTGAACAATGTGCGTTATGCTGCCTCCGTCTAGTCGCACGGGCTTCTTGCAGAGGCAGCCCAGCCTCTTGCGCACGGCGGGTATGTTGCTGCTGCAGCTGTAGCTGTTAAGGCGGCGGTCCGAGGCGGCAGCGGCGGAGGCAGTGGCAGGGGCCTCGAGGGCCGGGTCGGGCACTGACGGGGCGAGCTTGAGGCGGCGAACCTCGGTCGTGGCGGCTTCTGTGAGTGCGGGAGCCATGGCATCCATGCGCCGGGCAGCATGGAGGCCTCAGGGGCGGGGGCGATCGCGCATCCGCCTGCCACACACACACAAAGGGGCCACGGCGACACGGACAGCCAGGCGGGTTTCTCACAGCTGCGCTACGGACGTCTACGAGAGCCCCCCGTTTTCGCGATTTCACCGAATACGGGAGGGGGGGGGACGTTAAACATTAATTCGAACGTCGACGTATTAACACGGGCATATTTGAATCGCCGAGATTGGCAATAATTGAGCATCAACGTCGCTGAGAACCCGCGGGAACCCCAACAAAGAAGGCATGGGCGAGGGCAAACAATCGACCCATTTTTTTCCGTCTGGTCACACAAGCAAGACACACCCGCCCTCGCAACAGCAGTGCGGGTCGCACCTTTCTAGCACGACGTAGAAAATTACATCGACGATACACACGTCCCTTTGGACACGTCAAAACTGCACGTATAATCGTCGCACAATTACAATGATAAGAGAACAATCGCCGCCCTGGGAAGGCTCGCCACGGCCCAGACCTACCCACCCACCATTCACCATCACGCAGAGGGTTTCTCTCGCTCGTCAACTTTAAGCGCATTAGTAGCCTGCCCCCCGCCCCCAGCACCAGGAGAAACACTACAATGCTGTACTATATACTACGGCGTTTGCGACATGTCACAGCAGTAACAGCAGTATACACATTTCGGGGGCAAGTCATCGTACGAGCACAACGGCGAACAAGGGGTTGGGGTACGGATAACACCACGCCCGGCCGCCTTCACCTCCGCAGTGCCTTTTTGTTACACGCCACAACCATACACACACACACGACTCGTCGTATACGGTCCAGGAGACCTCGGGGATATATCCAAACTGCAGGTTTGACTAACACGTGCCGAGAAAACAAACAAACACCTTAAGGAGGTTGCCGGGTTCATAGCGCAGTGCGTGAACCCCACTGCGACACCGCCGCTCCTTTGACACGCACAATGTACACTGCTGCTGCTGCTGTCACCACGTACCAAGGGCCTGGCCGTGCTCACCACCCCACGCACGTGTACCCCGTAGCAGCAGCGGCAGCGACAGCGAGCCCCGCGTTCTCCCAACCTCTTCCTTCTTATCGATTGCGATCACACACAGACGCACGTGACTACGGATTGGCGCGCGATCTTTCTACTGCTGCAGCAACAGCGGCCACCACCACCACCGCCGCCTCCCAGAATCTACTGCTGCACGGAACACCCCTCCCCCACCCCCCGCTGCCCACCCCAACCCCCGCTGCCCTCCCACCTCCTGACTGCCCCCCCCCCTCCTCCTGACTCGACCCCCCCCTCCTCCTGACCCGCTGCCCCCACCCCTCCTGACCCGCTGCCCCCACCCCCTCCTGACTTGCCCCCCGCTGCCCCCCCCACCTCCTGACTCCCCCCCCACCCACCCCCCGTCCTGACTCACCCCCCTACCCCCCGCTGCCCCCCCCACCTCCTGACTCGCCCCCACCCCCCGCTGCCCCCACCCCCCGCTGCCCCCCCCCACCTCCGCCCGTCAACACGCGCGCGCTCACGAGACCCCCCCCCCCTCGTCCCCCCTCACGCGCGCGCCCAACGGCCACACCGCGACACGAAGTCGCCTTACCGCGAGACGTGCACTGCCACACGCCGTCTTCCTCCTCCTCCTCTGCCTCTGCCACCACGATCGCAGCTCCCCCCTCCTTGTGAAACTATTAACGACGTTAGTGCGTATGTCGGGTGGTTGTCTACAGTCTACCCCACCCCGTCGTCAATTGACGTTTGCCTCCTTTTCGTTTTGTCCACACACACGAGAAAAAAAAAAGAGACGAAAAATAATAAAATAACGAATATATCGAAAGTGCTTTGTCCGGGGGGCACCGCCCCGGGCGCCAGGCTACCGCGGTGGTTAAACTTTCACATATGTCCCCGTGAATAGTACGTGATGGTTTATTGTTCCTCTACACGCAACTGCATTGTTTATTCCCTGACGCAAAGAAACCCGGAATAAATCCCTCCTCGTCCTTAACAACAACAATCGTGACAAACGGCGCCTTTGCGCTACGATCGCCGATGCCGTTTTTGCTCCCGCACCTCGGAATCGCTATTACTACCACAGACGTTACACGTTTATCGTCAAATAACACAATTGACACGCGCGAGCCGCTGACAACGGAGACCTCCACCAGCGCCACAACCGCCGCCGAAGATGGCGGCTCCTGCGCAACTTTCCCGCGCGGCGACGCGGAGCGCGCGCGCTCTCCCCGCAAAATGGCGGCGCCTTTACCGCCATCCCCCCCCGCCCCTCATCCCCCAAACCCCCCCGCCCCTCATCCCCCCCGCCCCTCATCCCCCAAACCCCCCCCGCCCCTCATCCCCCCCGCCCCTCATCCTCCAACCCCCCCCGCCCCTCATCCCCCAAACCCCCCCCGCCCCTCATCCCCCCCGCCCCTCATCCCCCAAACCCCCCCCGCCCCTCATCCCCCCCGCCCCTCATCCTCCAACCCCCCCCGCCCCTCATCCTCCAACCACCCCCGCCCCTCATCCCCCAACGCCCCCCCCCGCCAAGCCCCTCATCCCCCAACCCCCCCGCCCCTCATCCCCCAAAGCCCCCCCCCCGCCAAGCCCCTTATCTCCCAACCCCCCCGCCCCTCATCCCCCCCCGCCCCTCATCCCCCAATCCCCCCCGCCCCTAATAACCCAACGCCCCCCCCCCCGCTCCGCCCCTCGCCAACCCCCTCCCCCTCCTCCACCCTCGCACCCCGCCCCCTCACACGAGCCAACACAACCCCCCCCACCCAAAGCCTCGCTGTCACATTTCCCACGCTGTACCCGCAACAAGCGCTCCCATTGGCTGAAGCCAAGTCAGCCCCCCCCCCCACCACCACCAATCCTCCGTCCCATCCCGGTTAGGGGCGTGGCCACTTTTAATCGACCGCCGCCGTGAAACGCCGCGGCCGTCTTCGCGACCGCCCCAAACGACGGCAGACATCGCCGATGACGCCCAGCTGCGACACTCGAGCCAATCGCACGAGGCGCTTCGGAAGGGGGCCCACGAGGGCGGAGACTGCTTGTGCAACCTACGGTTTTAGATGCCGCCATCCCCCTCTCTCCACAAAGGGGCCAGGATGTCGCCGATTGCGCCACCGGTGCCGTCCCCACCCCGCACGTTTGGCGCGGCCACGCGGCCTCTTTCGCGCGTTTTCCGCCCACACTCTCTTTTTTTTTGCCACAACTCTAACAGGCGCCCTCGTGTGAGCCACAAGAACCGTGACGCGGCGGGCATTTGGCAACTCGAGGTCTCGCGAGCGGATTTGGCAACCCTGGTAGTGGGGGCCCTTCCCGAGGTCCGGAGAGATTCCCCTCCAAGTAGTAGTAACGACACGCACGTGGCTTCATCCCAAACACCATCGAGATAATTTTAATCCACTACCCCTTGGTACTCAATTCACAGATTACATGTACCCAGTTTTAGGATTCTGTCGAGGAAGGATGGAGCGTGCGAACTGGAAATTCCCATCCCATACGTGACCCACTGTCCATGTGTAATGAATATTGGGAATGTCGTGACACATGCTGCTGGAACGTCAGCTGCGTATCCCCGTAAACACCCGCTCACATTTACCACAACCCGTGCAACTGAAACGTCTCAACTACAGCCCAGAAACAATCAGCCTGCTGTGTACCCCTCAACACTCTTATTCGGAACAAATGATTCACCGTGGAATTTTTTTCGTTAAACATTTGCAGCCATGCTTGTGGGACAGTCCGTTACGCGCCATACACTTTAAACACGTGCTTTAATTACTACACAGCGTACACAAAAACAAGGGTAAATTTTGGGTTTAAAGAAATGTATATCCCTCTGCTCACTACTTCCACAGGCCAGTAATGTGTTAAATGTAATCTTGACAATGCATAGCCATTATTTGGGTCATGGCAAAATGATTTATTTCAATGTGAATTAGAAACAAAACATCGCCACCCACTCAGTCTGCATGACGGGCCTTTAAAAAAAGTCGTAATTAGGATCGTTGCTTTCACTGTCCACTAATTCAACGAAACAATTCTAAAACATTCGAATTTACCGGTGAACAATACACAACGCTGCCAAAACAACCGGCATGGGGCAGCGAGTTCACGGACATCAAGCCTTGGGATTCTTGCGTCAACCACGTGTTGAGCCAGCCCAAGGCCCCCCCCCCCCGTCCATCACCACGCACAAACAACATTGGTCGCTGTCAACAACTTCAATATGTCTATACAATTCCTCGTCCTTTATTGCCACCGAATTTCAACAATTACTATTGTAAACAATACGCATCTACTACAAGGAAGTTTGATAAGACCCCTCCTCGGAAAGTACGATATGCACATGTGGACTTGAGTACAGAATAGTTAAAAAATGAACCCGTAAAAACAAAGTTCTTCACTATAAATCCTTTATATGCGTGGCATCGGTTTTATTTTATTATTAATTTCTGTTTTTCTTGAGTAAGAGTTTCATTTTTATCACATTGGTATTTTAAATTAAATGTGAAAGAAAAAAATTCCTAAAAAGTGGAACATTTCGGAAAATAATTTTCAAGAAAAGAAATTGTCACGCACAACGAGTCTGTGTGCAAAATGTCAGCTCGAT